AAGCAGAACAAAGTGATACTCACCATAGCTTCAACATCAGCCCAAGTTGTATTTTCTGGATCCGAAACCAGAAAGCTTTGAGTTTCATTTTTAAAAGTTACATTTAGAGTAACCTGTGGTTCCATGCTGTGGGGTGGGGCTGAGAGATAGATGGATGAAAAAAGAGGAAGGGATTAAAAACCCACACAGACACATTAGGTTTAATATATGTTAGACTTGGGAGATCACAGTAAGAGAAACAATGTCCCTACTGGTACACGACTTACTCTCTAGTAGTGTATTATATATCAAGTCTCACTTACATAAAGATTTCTCTTTCTCAGAAATAAAGACACTAATACTCAAACTATACCATAAAGCTTTACAGTTATGCTACAGAGTTAAACTTATTTAGAACTTCCACCTTAGAAATAAGAACCAAGGGCTGGAGAGATGGCTCAGTGGTTAAGTCTGCTCTCCCAAAGGACCAGGGTTCAATTCCCAGCACCCACATGGCAGCTCACAACTGTCTGTAACTCCACCAGGAGACCCAACACCCATAACAAAGCACCAATGCAAATAAAATAAGATTTAAAAAAAAAAAAAAAAGAAGAAAGAAAGAAAAGAGGCACAGTGGCACACACCTGTAGTCCCAGTTACTCAGGAAGGTAGAGCAGGATGGTAGTTGGAGTCCAAGAGTTCTAGGCCAGCCTAGAAAACAATGAAGCCAAGTCTTTAAAAGAGGTGTGGTATGGGGGAGGGGCGATAAAAGTCTGCTGGAAGAATTTAAATTTTGGCCATATCTACAAAGACTCTCCTACCATGTTATAAGTCTCTAAAGTGTTTACCTTATTCCGGTGATTGGTTGATATCTGTAGCACAAGCCAACAAGACGGAGAACAAAGACAAGGTGTCTGCACTCTGGGAGCAGAGGCAGAGGCAGAAGAAAGCTGCAGTTTTAAGCAGTCAGTTCAAGAAAAGCCTGGGCTACAGAATGAGCATTCGTCTACAGAAAACAAGCAAGCAAACAAAAGCACCAACCTTCCTAAAAAAACAAACAAACAAAACCAAAAACCACACCCTAAACAACTACAAAAAACAAACAAACAAACAAAACTTCCGCCCGGTGGTGGTACACACCTTTACTTCTAGCACCAGACAGAGGCAGGAGGATCTCTGTGAGTTCGAGACCAGCCTGGTCTACAGAGCTAGTTCCAGGACAGACTCCAAAGCCACAGAGAAACCCAGTCTCTAAAACAAAAAAACAAAAACAAAAAACAAACAAAAACAACAGCAACAAAACACTTCAATTACTTGTGGAAAAAGCTATACAAAAGAAAGTAACACAATGAGTCCTTATGGACCTATCAGCTTCCACAATTAGCAACTAGAAGCTAATTTTGTTGTCCAGTATCCTTCCTTTCTAGTGTAAGCGCGTGCGTGAGTGCGTGCTTGCGTGTGTGTGTTCTGTGTTGAGCAGATGACACAGGGCCTGGATTTTAGGGAGCCACTCTACAACTGAGCTACAACCTTCCTTCATGACAGTGTCTCTCTTGATGAAATATTCATCCTATCTTCCATAAATATTTGTAAAATGAGAAAGATTTAAAAAAAAAAAAAAACCAGCATGATCATGCCTAAGGAGTTGGCAATTTCTTAATCAAACACCTTACTATTAAAATCTATTTGATTTTAGCCGCGCAGTGGTGGCACACTCCTATAATGCCAGCATCCGGGAGGCAGAGGCAGAGGAGGTAGGATCTCTGTGAGGCCAGCCTGGTCTACAATAAGAGATACAGGACAGCCAAGGCTGTTACACAGAGAAGCCCTGTCTTGACCCCCCCCCCCAACCCGCCAAAAAAAAAAAAAAAAAACAAAAAACAAAAAACAAAACAAAAAAAAAAAAACAAAAGCAACCTATATGATTTTAATGAAAGACTTTACTTACTGGTTAACTGTGACTTTAGGAAAAAACAATAATTTTAAGTTGTTTAAAGCTACAAATAGTAGACAACTGGCAAAAAAAAAGTCACCTCTTAAAATAGTCATCCCAGTTTCTTTCTTTTTTTGTTTGTTTTTTTGAGACAGGGTTTCTCTGTGGCTTTGGAGCCTGCCCTGGAACTCACTCTGTAGACCAGGTTGGCTTCAAACTCATAGAGATCCGCCTGCCTCTGCCTCCTGAGTGCTGGCATTAAAGGCACCACCACCACCCGGCTATTCATCCCATTTTCAAACTGCATGTAGACGGAGGCAGATTCTATCTATTCCACAAACAAGGCATGAACAAGATTAAGTCCTAGACGTTTCCCGTGTCACAGAGGGAGCCAAAGGGTGGAAAGACTTGTGTCCCAGATACAGCTCCACCACAAGACAGGTCATGCAACTGTTTATCTCTAAGCTTCACTCGTTTAATCTGCAAAACAAAGACTATTCTGCTGACTATAACAGTGTTATCAAAGGGATCTAATGAAATCTTGGTCTAGGAATTTGGAGTAAGCAACCAGTCCACATATGTGCAAAGCTGTGGAACCAATTTCCAGCACCACAAAGTATGCAGGATTCTTTCAAGTAGTATTCAAGTATGAAAACTATTATCTTAAGAAATGATTTCTTAGTTCCTTAAGAGAGCTTGTACCTTATTACTACTTTTTGGGGGGTGGAGGGAGATAGGGTTTCACTCTGTAGCCCATGCTGGCCTGGGAATTGCTATGTATGTAGACCAGGCTCTAACAGATTTGCCTGCTTCTGCCTCAAGAGTACAGCACTGTGGATACAATTGTCATATTAAGAACCTTGTCTTCCTAGTCACAGATTATTTTAGAGACTCAATTATCCATTTTTTCCATGACTTATCTTCATCTAGAGTTAAGTTCACTTCCAAAGTAATACCAGTCTCTCGAATCAATCCTGTTGACATACAGCATTCATTTACCTAAAATGCAATTCTTCCCTAGGGTCTTTAAAATTCTGGCAGACGCCCACCAATTCCCCAGGGTGTTTGTTTGTTTGTTTGTTTGTTTTTGTTTTGTTTTTTTAAATCAGGAAAACGAAGGGACTGAGTTTGTCAAAAAAAAAAATTCTGAAATACACTTCAACTTCAAGAAATACGCTTCCACACTGTTCTGCCTGGAAGGAAACTAATCTTTCCCCGTTCTCAAATGACATGAGTGGGAATTAGTTTCCATACTTTGGAGTTCATCCAGCTGCTCTGTCATCGAGAAAACAGGAAATGGGAGAGTCTAGTTTAGCTAGCCGATATACAAGTTTTCATAAAGGGCCTAGCTCACTGTGGCTTATGTGTGAAAATTCTTTCAGCTAGAGCAGTAATCTTGAACTTGTGAAAATATCAAAGGTATATTTAACGGCACGCATTACCTATTGTTTTACAGCTATTGGTCAGGTAGCTGGGCCCTTCCTAAGTGGCACTATAAGCGCATGCCTTATTGACTCACATTCATGTGACAAACGTCAGCTTTTCCCCATAAGAATTTTTTTCAATCTGTACAAATAATGTTAATAAAACGAACCTAGGAATCTGAACTTTATTGTCTCTACCAGAGGTTTAAAGCTACCTAAGCTTTATAGTGGGTGATCCGAAAGCCGGGTGCTTGACAAAAAGGGAAAACGATGCCTCTCTAACACTGAAGGTCCTAGAGCAAGGTAGCTTCAATGGAGTCTCGAATAGCGGAAGGGTCAGAATGAGGAATATGTGTTTCCCTTCTTCTCACACACTTAATCCTAGTCTTCCAGTAATCGTTTCCTGGAACTCCATGTCCCCAGGACGGTGAGTGTCACCATCACCGGAGGCCCTCTTTTTGTACTGGGGGATTTCGACCTTCTCTTTGCAGAGACGGGCCCTGCTAAGCCATGAAGGCTCTCCCTCACGCAGTATCCACACTCCACTGTCGCTGACAACCCAAGCGGCTCTCTCCTCTGGTCACTGAAAGGACTGGCTGCCCGCGGACACGAAAAAAGTCAACTCCGCCTTTCAAGATTCTTGAACTTCCCCGAGACCTCTGAGAACGACGTGACCCCACTCCTAGGTAACAGCAGTGGCTTCCTTACCAGCTTTCCGTCCACGGGGGGCGCTTGCCCGTGGCCAGTGCAAGGACCGTTCGCTGCCAGCTCGGCTGCTATCCCTGCGGGGTGAATCTAACATGGCGGACAGAGACCGGGCCTAGTCCCATGTTTCTCTGAGTTTCCGACAAAACGATTGGATCTAACTGTTTGTCCCTCAAAAGCACCACTCCACCGATTGGTCAATGCTGCGTTGGCAAGGGCGGGACAGAAGCTATCTGAACCGCACAACAATAACAAACACCTGGGCCGAGGGGCGGAACTAGTGCGCAGATGTCAGCGGAGTGGATTTCCCTTTCCCAAGCCGATTGGTCGCCCTCTGCTTTTCCTAAGGTCACTGACCTTGGAGAACTAGTTACCCGAGAATCGCGGGGCTGGATGGGAATTGTAGTCTTCCTGGGACTTGCAGCTTCTTTTAGTCTATTCTTTGTGAGCAAGACATGAAAACAGAACGCTGCGATGCATAGCAGCTAACCTGCATAACCGCGACAAGGTCTCCGCTGTATTAACTGGGTTGCTGTGGTAATCGCGCCTGCTCCCGGTGTTGGAAGCTCCTCTCCCTTAAGACTACAGTTTCCAAGGGACGCTGTGGAGAAGTCGTTTCGTCCCGCAATGCATGCTGGAATTGGTAGTTCTTTTTACACAATCCTTTATTTACCTAAACTGGAGACTTCCATGGCAGGAAGGCTAAGGGAGGGATGAGGCCTCGTCCTGCAACTGCTTTGGTCACTGCCTTGCGCTCATCTTCCGACTTCAGGTAGCGATTCCTACCCTTTGTACAGAATTACTGTGACGTAATAAGCAAGCGTAGATGCGAAGGGGCGGCTGCTTAATAGGAAACTCAAAATTCTTTCTCTTCCGTCTCTTTCTAGTTACGACATACAAGGAAAGACTAGGTGGCCAATCACGAGCCCGGAAAGAGTGTCCACCTTTTTTTTTCCTCTCCCTTCCGCTGACGTGTCTGGATCTTGCGTTCCTAGAGGCCAGCGCTAGCCGCCAAGCGGCCGGTTTCCTTGGTGACAGAGAGCGCGGGAATTACAGATAAATTGTAATTGCGGCTGCGCGGCGGCCACTGGTGCCGCGGTTGGACCCAGTGCTTTTCGAGCGGCTTCTCTGGTATTTGGGCCAAGGGGTCGGGAGTACGGACGTTTTGCTCGGAGTAAAGGTGAGACATCCCCGAGGAACAAGGAGGGTACCTAGCGATACTCACATGAAGGATGGGAAACTGCAGGTGGATATGGGTGTTGCCGAGTAGGAGAATGCCTGGGCGAAACCGAAGGGTCCAAGACGTTGTGAAACTGAAGGGACTCCTGGGAGGGGTAAAGTTGGTGCCTTAGCGGGGACAGCAGTGAGGAAGAAGGCAAGGGATGGGAGGGGCCTTCCTGGCTGTAGTCGTGCCTTGATGGCAGTGTAAGGATGCTAGGGTGAGAGGAAAGGAGGGCAGAAGTGTGGCAAGGAAATCCATGTATATTTCACAGAAGGTAGTAGAAGGGACGTACATAAAGGAATGCCAATAGTAATGATTGCTATCGGCATTATTTAAAGAATGTCTTGCGGTTAAATGCCAAAACAGGGAAACCTCTGAAAGGGGGTTGGGTGGAGAAGCATCAGCAGTTTTGGTGTTCGATTTTGGTGACTTTATTTTAAAAAAAAAAGTGCATTTCTTTTCGTTAGTTTGTTTTAGTTTTAGTTTTTTGTTTGTTTGATTAGTTTCTGAGACAGAGTCGCATTATGTAGCTCTGGCTGTCTTGGGACTCAATATGTAGAGCAGGCTGGCCTCGAACTCCATCTGCTTCTGCCTCCGAGGAGAAGGTGTTAAAGGCCTCTTCTACCATGCTCATCTAGTTTGGGAGTTTTTGAGGACTGAGTCTTCTGTACTCGGGTTGGGCTTAGTCTTCTTATGTAGCTCAAGGTGACCTTGAACTCTTCATAATTCTGCCTGCATCTCAGACTGTTGGAAGTACAGGTTTGCACCACCATACCGATTTTGGTCTTTGCCTAATCCAGGAAGACTGCTGAACTTTTGAGACCAAACCATCCTTCTTCTACTCTCCATTTCCTGGAACTATAGGTATGGCACCACGGTGCCCTACTTGGCTTTGATTTTAACCAAGAAAAACAAAAACAAAAACTGGGACTCTGGAGAAAGTTCATACCTACCACACCACTTCTGTCTAGTCACGCCACTGTAGCTTTCCTTTTCTTGGACAAAAGAAAGACCAAAGGAAGGCTTTAGAAGCTAAATATCAAAGAATAGAGAATTAAATTGCTAACTACAAAGAGCAACTACTAGATTTTTTTAAGATTCGTTTTTAATTGTTTTTAAATTATGTGCATATGTGTGCAGGGGTTCTGGCCTGGATCTGGATGTCCAGACACCTGAGAGGTGCTGGGAATTGAACTCTGGTCCTCTGGAGGATAGGCACATCCTTTTAACCACTGAGCCACCCCTCCAGACTCTGAGGGTTTTTGTTTTTTGATTTTTGTTTTTAAATGTAGATGTTTCTCATCAGCTCTATGGTTGGTATAATTCTAAAGCAAACTTAAATTCTCTTATTTAGAATGACAAATGAGGTGTGATAACTTAACACCTGTAACCCCAGCACTCAGGAGGCTGAGGCAGGAGGATTACTACAAGTTGGAGGCTAATCTGAGCTGCATAGTGATTTCCAGGGCTACAGAGTGAGAACTTCCACCAAAAGGGTGGATGGGGATGACTTACACCCCAGTAATTCCAGCAGTAAGGGTGTGGAGGTGGGAGGGTCAGGGGTTCCAGAATAGCCTTGAGTACATGATAATACAAAGCCAATGTGGGTTATATGTGATTTTACCTGGAGATGGCTCAGAGGTTGAGAGCACTGGTTGCTCTCCTACAGTTCCTCCTACAGTTCCTGAGTTCAATGGCTAGCAACCAAATGGAGGCTCACAACCATCTAAAATGAGATGTGGTGCTCTCTTCTGACCTGCAAGCATAACATCATATACATAATAAATAAATCTATAAAAAAAGAAAAAAGCCCGGGTAGTGCCACATGCCTTTAATCTCAACACTTGGGAGGCAGAGGCAGGTGAATCTCTGTGAGTTCAAGACTAGCCTGGTCTACAGAGCTAGTTCTAGGACAGGCTTCAAAGCTACACAGGGAAATCCTGTCTTGAAAAAAAAGAAAATTGGCAGGTAAGCAACTGTATTTAAAAGCCCTTTAAAGTTGTTTAATATATGTTTTTGAAATTTTCATTAAAGTTCACCAGACCTGGAAGAAATGGATTTATCTCCTGTTCAAATTGAAGAAGTACAAAATGTCCTTCATGCTATGCAAAAAATCCTAGAGTGTCCAATCTGGTAAGTCAATGGAAGTGCCACATGCATGTGAGAACCCTTGTATGATTATCTTTCATGCAAATAAGTAGAAGTGGCTTTGTATAGTAGAGAGAAAAATAATCTGTTTATGTCAAATTGACTCTGTATTTTTCATAACTGGAGTTTTAAAAATATAGAAAAGTAATCTTCATCTGTCATCCCCTTCTCCCCTTTTTTCAAACAGAACTTGTCTATTATTTTGATTTGTTTTTCCTTGGGGCAGGGTTCTGGTCAGAGTAAGTGACACTTAGGCTTTTCTTCCAGCTGTAGGACCAGCCTGATCTCTTCGAATGACTCTAGTAAATAATGTTAAAATAATGTAAAATATTATCTGTGAGAGAGCATCTGTCTCTGGCTCAAACTGTCTCTGTAAATTTAAGTGAGAATGCCACCAGTCCTCAAAGCTTTTGGCAAGTCTAATCCCCAATGAGCTTTTCTTTTTCTTTTTCTGTGAATTGAAGAGAGATCTAATCAACTGTCTCCATATTCCCACCTTTTTGTTTTTTAAAGACAGGCTACACTATACAGCCCCAAATCAATCTCAAACTCACTATCTAGCATAGGCTGGTCTTGAACTCAAATCCTCATGCTAAGATCATAGGCTTATATTACCAAACCTGGCTAAAACAGTTTTGACCAGTGTTTGTCTGTGTGACTCTATCTCCATTGAGGATAGAAACATTTCTACTCCCTAGAATGTTCCCTTGTATAGTCAGGAGTTCCTAATATTCAGACCTTCTAGGATATTTGCAAGTTAGTTTTTAGTGTATAATTTTCAAAATTTTATGCACTAGGGCTCAGAATGTAGCTTAGGAGAGTGGCCTCCTTAGCACACAGGAAGGCCTGGGTTCAGTTGGGCCTAGTGACAGATATCTGTAATCCCAAAAGAAGTTAGAGGCAGGAGGATTAGTAATTCAAAGTCATCCTTGACTGTTAGGCCAGCCTGGAATACAGATGGCCTTGTTTCCTTTTTTTTTTTTTTTTTTTTTTTTTTTTTAACTCAGGCTGGATGTCTACTTTGGAAGTGGAGTAATTTAATCAGCATGCTTTAGGTTCCAAAGTCCCTGTATAACCAATGTTAGGCCTCAGCTAGGCTGGAGAAATGGCCTGTGATTAAGGGTCTATACTGTGCTTTCAGAAGCTGGTAACCATCTATAACTCTAACTCCAGGGAGTATGGCACCATCTTGTCACCTCCATTGGTATCTTCACTCACTAATACAAGCCTCCACACAGTAACACATAAGTACACACAATTCAAAATAAGTCTTGGGCTGGGTGTGGTGGCACATGCCCTTAATCCCAGAATTTGGATGATAGGTTTATCACTGTTCAAGGCCATTCAGGTCTACAAAGCAAGTTTCTAGGCTAATCAGGACCACACAGTGAGAGACCCTGTCTCAAAAACCAAAATAAAGTAAATCTATTTTTAAAAAAGGAGCCCCAAGCATTCGTAAAATGCTCTCTCTTATAGTTTCACAGATATATAAAATAAATAAAATTCCACATTAGAGTCTCTTAAAGATTTATTTATTTATGTATTTTATGTATGTGAGTGTCCTAGGTTCATGTGTTCCTGTATGACAGAAGAGGGCATCAAACAGAAGAGGGCGTCAGATCCCATTACAGGTGGTTGTGAGCCAACATGCAGTTGTTGGGAATTGAACTTAGGACCATGAAGCCATCTCTCCAGTCTCCAGAATCTCTTAATGAATAGCTGGGACTGTAATTAGAATTGTTTCCCTTCTCCCCTTCTTATTCTGTGCAGTGATTATTTAGCTGATTTGGGGGGGGGAGGGAGCGGGTTGAGACAGGGTTTCTCTGTGTAGTCCCTGTCCTGGAACTCGCTCTGTAGACCAGGCTGGCCTCAGATTCACAGAGATCCACCTGTCTGTGCCTCGACAGTGCTGGGATTAAAGGTGAGCACCACCACCACTCGGCTGAAAATCTTGGTTCTCATGGCTTAGAGGCTTGGTGGTTAACAGTGCTTGCTGCTCATTTCTGGTTCTCATGGCTTAGAGGCTTTGTGGTTAACAGTGCTTGCTGCTCATTTCTGGTATAGGACTTCAGTTCCTGGCATTCTAATTGGGTAGTTCACAATCACTTATAGCTTCAGCTCCAGGGGACCCAATGTCCTCTTCTGGTCTCTGCAGGCATCTACATATATGTGTATGCATATACATAGAATCGCATAAAAAAACATTGCATTTATAGAAATGAAAGAAAATATTGACTCACCTGTCACTTTTTCTTTCTTTCTTTTTGCTTTTCTCTGTGTAGCCCTGGCTGTCCCAGAACTTATTTGTAGAATTGCCCTGTGTGAAACTTCAACAAACCGCCCCCCCACCACTTCATATTTATCCTTTCCTGATTTTTCTTTTCCTTCATAAAATTGTTATTTGTTTTTATTATTTTTACATGTGTGTGTTCTGTATATAAATGCCATGTGTGTGCGTATACACAGAAGCCGTGGGAGTGTGCCAGATCCCTTGGAGCTGGAGTTACAGGTCATTGTGAGCCACTGGGCATGGGTGCTGTAGGGATAGCAAATGTTCCTAACCACTGAGTCATCTTTCTAGCCTTCCCTGTATTTTTTTTCTCTTTATGTAACCCTAACTGGTTTGGAACTCACTGTGTACACCAGTTTGGCCTGGCACTCACAGAGACCCACCTGCTTCTGCCCTCAGAGTACTGGAAGTAAAGGCGTGTGTTACTTCAACCAGAGGTTTTTTTTTTTTTTTTTTTTTAAACCAACCTCTTAGAGACATGGATCCCTTATTCTTTATATCCTTCGTTGCTATGTGACATACTGTATAATTTATTCATCATCTTTCTCCTCTGGAGAATATAAATTTATGAGTATAGAAATTTATGTTATCTTGGTAGTCAGTATCTATGATATAGAGGCACTCAGTAATTTAAGTAAGTTGGTTTTTCCCCCTTTTAAAAATTATTTTTGCTTTTTGGTGTTTTTAGATACAGGATCTTACTGTGTAGCTCTGGCTATCCTGGAATTCACTCTGTAGACCAAGCTGGCCTTGAACTCACAGATAGAACTCACAGATATCCTCTTGCCTCTGCCTCTTAAGTCCTGGGATTAAAGTCATGTTTCTCTACATCCTGCCTAAATTAGTTCTTAATAGTTTATATATTTATTTTGGTGCTGAGGATTCAGTTGATGAATCTTGGATGCTATGTATGTGCTGTATCCCTGAACTATACCCAGCCCAATTTATTTGTTTATTTTATTTATTTGTTTGTTTTCCTGGATAGGGTCTCACTTTGTAGATAGGACTGACCTTGAATTCACAGAGTCCTGTCTCTAAGCCATGAGAACCAAGATTAAAGACATGTGCATTGTTATTAGGGCGCAGCATTCAGAAATAGAGGGTTGGAAAGATGTCTCAGTTGAGTAAAGCTTTTGCCATGAAAGCACAAGGACTGGAGTTTGGATCGCTAGCATCCACCTAAATGCTAGGTGGGTGTGGCAACATACTAGAATCCTAGTGCTTGATATACAGAAACAGGATGCTCAGAGCGAGCTGGCTAGCTAGACTAGCCACATTAGTGAGCTCTGGGTACAAATAACAGACCCAACTCGGTGTATAAAGTGGAAAGCAAGGAAGACAGCCAACACCAATCTGGGCCCTCCACAGTGTGTGCCTGCAGACCAGAAGAGGGCATCAGATTGTGAGCTGCCATGTGGGTGCTGAGAATTGAACCCGAGCCCTCTGAAAGAGCAGCCTGTGCTTTTAACTGCTGAGCTAGCTCTTCAACCCCCAGTTGTCCCTTTTTTTGTTTTGTTTTGAATTAACCTTTGATGGGTGAATTCAAGTAAATTGGCCTCTGTACTTCATGGGGTTGTTATTTGTGTTTGGAGTGAAGCTAACAAGATTAAAGCAGAGACAAGATATGAAAAATGCTTGCCTCTCTGCCCTCAACATTGAAGCTAAACAAAAACAAGACCTAATGAGATTTACAACCAAATCTATGAACTATCAGAGCCACAGAGGCAGAAATAACATTGCAAGAGAAAGATTGGTTCTGAAAAGCCTAAACTTACTGGGGATAATTACAAACAGTGATCACAAAGTCTTCAATAATGTGACATTTGGGTCCATTTATTTTTCATTCCCATGGGACTCAGTCATAAAAATGTAATGTTCTTTCTCATTCTGGCAAATTAAACCATCAGTTAAAAATTCAGATACATAAAAACCAAAGATGCAAGAAAGTTACTGCTGCATTTTCACGTTAGTTACTTGGCTTCCTCAGCTTCTTGCTGCACCTTCTTGTTCTTCTCCTTCAGATGGCCTCAAAGGTCTTGGTCCTCCTACCTCAGCCTCCCAAAACTGGAGTTACAGGTATGCACCTGTAAGCTTTAGGCTCCCTTTTTTTTTATTTAGTTATTTTTTATAGTGTCTCACTATGTAGCTCTGGCTGTCCTGGAACTCACTGTATAGATGAGGCTGGCCTCGAACTCTCAGAGCTCCCCCCGCCTCTGCATTCCAGTGCTGGAATTAAATGTGTATGCCACCATGTCAGGCTTGATTTTAATAATGTTTGTTTGTTTGTTTGATTTTTGAGACAGGATTTCTCTGTAACAGCTCTGGCTGTACTGGAACTTACTTTGTAGACCAGGCTGGCCTTGCCCTCATAGAGATCCTCTTGCCTTTGCCTCTCGAGTGCTGGGATTAAAGGCATGCACCACCACAACCTGGTGATTTTAATAATTTTTAAACTAGAATGTTCACTACAGTCTTCTCTAAAGCTTAAGGTCATCTGTATGGAATGTTCTAGAGTGGGACTGAACCTATTGCTCTGTTATTTTTCTTGCAGTTCTTAGGATTGAACTGAGGGCCTTTTTGTGGTGTGCTCCATTATACCTACAGTCTCAGCCTGGATGAGTTTTAGTTATTCAAACCCCCCTCCCTGTGTGTTATTGGAAATTGAATCCAAGACCTGATACATGCTGGGCACACTATCCTGCTCAGGTACACCCCCAGCCTGTGCAGTTCGTTCTTAATGACAAGTGATTAGGACTAAAAACTGTTACTTGGAGCCTTTAGTTTCAGCTATTGATTGGGAGGCAGAGTCAGGGGGATGTATGAATTTGAGGCCACCCTGTTCTATAGAGCAAATTCCAGAACAGCTAGGGCTACATAGAGACCATGTCTCACTAAAAACAAAACACCAACAAGAAAAAAAAATAAAAGAAGTTGTTCCTTGGGGTAGTGTAGAGTAGATCCTCAGTTCTTAGGTCTCTGCGCTGATATTCCTTCTGTCCCTGAATCTATTTGGGAGTAGTAGCTTTGTTTTTATTTTTCAGGGTGGAGTTTGAAGGTGGGGTCTTGTGATGTCTCTATGTCCTGTGCTCATGAGGTCTTCCCACTTCACCCTCCACAAGTTGTTGGAACCACAAACATGCACTGATACATCTAGCTCATTGGCAGTTACTTGTGGTAATTGGTAGCTCTTTTTACCTTTTTAAATATGAGTATGGAACATTTTTTATGTGCTGAAATTTTTTTTTTTTCCAACCTTAAACCTAACTTCTTTCCTCAGTGATTCCTTCTGTTAAAGCTTAAACTACAAATACCCAGTAGGCTGAAAATACTACATGGCATGAAAAGTGTTTGAAACATTTGAATTTTAGAGTAAACATTTACTCTTATCAGAAGCTAGAAGAGAAACATTCTAATTTTTTTTTCCCATTTTCATTCCTATTCGTCTTCAAGCTCTTCCTTCAGCCGTCACTACCTTTTTACATATGGGAGTTTTCATCTGTTCAGAGTTGGTGTTTACAGTGTGTTTATATAGCTCAGATCGTAATTACCATACTGAAATATAATTATTTCAGAGTTGAGTCAGTGGCGAGAATGAAAGCCATCTGGTATCATGACTCAATCCAATTTCTCTTTTACTAAAAACTTTCTTTGGTGTCTAGCTTGTCTCAGAAATAGTGATCTAGAAGCAAATCAGTCTCTTTTGTTGATTTTGTATGCTGGAGGTGGCTCCAGATGACTGCCCAGGTGAAAACTGAGGATGAGGTGGAAAGGTTAGCCTGAGGTGATTCTGCCCACACAGACAGCTGGTAGTGGAAGCCAGCCTTCAGCCTTAGTCAGGTGTGTTCTCTGCATCTTCAGGAGCCCCATGACCACTAGAATTATTACTAAGCCCTTTACAGCAGGCTCTTCTCCATTTAATGAAAGGATTATATTTCTCTCACACAGTGAGTTACCTCTTCTTTAATGACTTACATTGGCTTTACCATCAGAACTCAGTGTGTGAAGCACAAAATAAAGCTAAGGACAAACCAGGCGTGTTTCCTGCCCTTTTGGACTCCCAGCTATCTGTCTACTGTAGGCCTCCATCATTCCATCTCGGCACAGAGGCCTTACACAAACAGGCATGGCCCTGCTCAGCTTGGCTTCTCTGCTCCCTGTATAACAATTGCATAGCTGGCTTCCTTACATGACTCAGCTGTCCTCCACCGTGACTTTCTCATTTGTGCATTGTGCATTTTATAGCCACCAACGTTTATTTCACCCTGGGTCCTTTTGCCCTGCTTGGCTTTTCTTTTTAACATATTCCTCCTTTTTTGTATGATACTACATACAGTTAATTTTCCCATTTTATTTGTGCAAATGCTTGAACTTTTTCATATTCAGTTAAAAAGGCAATCCCAAGCCAGACAGTGGTGGCACACATCTTTAATCCCAGCACTTGGGAGACAGAGGCAGGCAGATCACTGTGAATTCGAGACCAGCATGATCTATAGAGTTCCGGAACAGCCAGGGCTGTTACACAGCCTCCTAAGTGCTACGATTAAAGGTGTGTGCTGCCACCACCTGATAAATACACTTTAAAGTGCTGTGAGGCAATCAAAAAAAAAAAAAAAAAAAAAAAAAAAAAGTATAGTAGACTTCACATATCTGTGGGTGGTACATTTCAAGATCCCTAGTGGGTGTTTGAAATTTCAGATAATACTGATCCTGCATACACTATGGTAAAAAAAAAAAAAATTGTCCTAGATCAGTGGTTCTAGATTAGCTTCAGTAGGAAGCTAATAAGCAAGCCTTTAATATGGTCCCTCATGCTGTGGTAACCCCCAAAATTATTTCATTGCTACTCAATAACTGTAAGTTTGCTACTGTTATGAATCATAATGTAAATATTTGTATTTTCCCATGGTCTTAGGTGACCCTGTGAAAGGGTCATTTGACCCCTGGATGGAGAACTCTACTCCTAAATGTATACTCAAGCCTCAGTTACAGCAACTTAAAGATAGACCTCTACTTAAAAAAAAATTGCTTATAAACAACTTAATTAACTTCATTTATCTCTCTCTGTCTTTTGTCCCTGTACTCCTCTAGTTTGGAATTGATCAAAGAACCCATTTCCACAAAGTGTGACCACATATTTTGCAAGTAAGTGAACAGTCGTGGTGATTGATCATTAGCTTTTGTGTGTGCTCTTCATTACATAGCATTAGAGGCATTTGTTTCTTCATTCTTCCTTGGGAGTGCTGTGAATTCATCGTAGATACTGGCCATAGCCATAGTTCTTGATTTTTGACATTGCTTATCTGTGTATTAAAAAAAAAATCACATAAAGCTGTTTACTTTTCTTTTAGTGTCCGGTGGTAAGTGTAGACTGAAAACAATTGTGAAAAAAGCAAATTATGTTCAGACTTGCCAGTTTCTTGTTTCTGGTCATTCCTACATTTTGTGCTTTTCCCACTGAGAAGGTTCAGAGCTTGCTGGTTATAGGGATCTGCACACTGAATGTTTAGGCCACAGTTTATTCATATCAACGATCCAGGTTATATCTGAATCATTCAAGTTACACATGGCCCTCCATATCTACAGGTTATGTTTTGGCTGAGTCAACCAGTCATGGGTTGAAAATATTCAGGAAACAAATTTGTGTCTACATTGATTGTATGCAGACCCTTTCTTCTTTTCAATGTTCCCTAAACAATGCAAAGTCATAAAGGTGTATCATAGTTAAAAAAATCTTTATATGTATGTGGTTCTGTCTATATATGAATGTATGCATGCACATATGTATGGGTACCCATGGAGGCTAGAAGAGGGTGTTTGAACTTACAATCTAAGATGCGGCTAATTTGAGGAAATAGTTTACCAGGACATGCTTTAGCGGTTAAGTCGTGTTTCTGGTTCTTTTCCGCTCCCTATACTGTCTATACATTCCTGTTGCCTTGATATTTCTGCTTTTCCTTTGTCCCAACACACTGGAGCCAGCCAGTCGTGAACTGAAATTGTAAGCCAAAATGTTTATCCCCTTTGAGTTGTTTTTCTTAGGAGTTTGTCACAGTGACAAAAGGTCTGACTTACACAATCTCCAAAAAGCCCATGTTGTCCCAGGTTTAGTATATCTTAGCTACTCCCAGTCAACTCTTTGTAATGCTGTGTCCATTAAAACAGCAAGGATTTCATTTTGCCTTTTGCACTGAATCTCTTACATCTGGAGTAGTACCAGACGTCTGATGGGTATTAGTTGTGTGAGTGAGTCACTTCCTTTAATTCTGACTGCTGCATCTCTACTGTGGTGTGAGATTAGAGACTAACTTTTGAAGTGAGAAAATGGCTAATTTAAAAAGTATGTGACATACTAAACTGAGTCCTATATCCCTAGGACTCAAAAGCTAAGCTTGTACCTGTAATCGCAGTGCTGGGTAGATGGAGAGACAGGAGGATCCCTGGGGTTTGCTGGCCAGCCAGTATAGCCCAAATCAACAAGCTCTGGGTTCAGTAAGAGGCTCCTCCTCAATAAATAAATTTAATTAAATAAATAAAGTAGAGACTAATTGAAATAAGAGACCCAACAACAACCTCTGGCCTTCACATACATGTTTGCACACATACACACACATATCCACTAAGGAGACTGGCTTCATTCTTTTACATGTGGATATCCAGTTGTCCTGATGCCCTTAAAAAAGTAAGACTGTTCTGTTTGCACTAAATCATCTTGATATAAATGTTAAGAGTAAATAGATGGTTTATGTGAATAGGGATGTATTTCCAGACTCTTAACCTATTCTACTGATGATGTGTCTGTCCTGCCAGAACCACATTATCTTTTGTTGTTGGTGGTGGTTTTGTTTATTTGTTTGTTTGTGTGTTTTCTGAGACAGGTTTTTCTTTGTGTAGCCCTGGCTATCCTGGAACTCACCCTGTAGACCAGGATAGGATGGCTTTGAACTCATAGGTTTGCCTCCCTCTATCGTGGTTTAATAAGGATCAGGAGAAACAGATAGGCTGAATAGATCTTTATTCAGGGAGAAATAAGTTACAACATAGACAGATGAACACCAGCAGGTTCCTGGTCCCAAGGATGCCTCCGATGCTCTCCTGTCCCTGTGCTGCAAGAGAGCTCTCCTCACGCCCCTCCTCAGAACTAGTTCCCCCCACGTAACTGCCCACTGCCCCTGTCTCCGCCCCCAGTGGGCGTGGTCACTGTCACAGGTACCAACAAAGTGACTATCTCACTACAACCCTCTGCCTCCCTGGTGCTGGGATTAAAGGCAAACTACCACAACTACAGAACCATATTATCTTAATTACTGTAGCTTTGTATCGAGCCTCAGAGATTTTGTTTACTTAGTTCTGGGGAGCACACTGGGCTTGTGTATATTGAGTAAGTGCTTCAACAGAGATATATATCCCAGACCCTAGATGGTGAGCTTTTAAACAAATACAACCATTTTACTACATTAACTACTTAAGCATTTATATCTGATTGTGCAGCATGAAATAATTATAACTATATCATTAAATATGCTGAATTAACTTTTTAATGTTTTATTTTATCATAACTAAGTCATGTGCAGGTAAGATTAGTTTTCATGGGTCATTTCTTAAGTGGCTTGATTTTCTCCTTATGCAGCATCTAAAAATAATTACTGAAAAATTATTGTAACTTCCCTGTCAATACCTTTTAAATGACTTTTTTTTTTCTTGTAAATAACTCTTAAGGGCATTTATGAAATTATCTTCTTGGGTGTTCTTTCTACAAAAGAAAATAACATTGGTTTTTGTTTTGTTTCTCTTCTTTCTAATTTATAGATTTTGTATGCTGAAACTTCTTAACCAGAAGAAAGGGCCTTCACAATGTCCTTTGTGTAAGAATGAGATAACCAAAAGGTATGTAGTATGTGTAATCATGGGAGGTTGGAAGCAACAATGGCATGGGAAAAAGTAGACATTCATATGTACATAATGTTCCTGTAAAACCATTTATCAATAGGAAAATAGACAGAAATGTGTTTGGGGGCTAGAGGTGTAGCTCAGTTGGTAGAGTGCTTGCCTAATAGGCACAAGGCCTCTGAGTTCATATGACAGCACCACATTAACCAGACATCTTGCAGGTGAGACAGCTGAGCAGGTAAAGGCAGTGTTAAGACTGATCACCTGAGTTTGGTTCCCAAGACCCGTATGATGGAAGTCGAGAACTGACTCTGCAACACACACACACACACACACTTTCTTTAATTAATAATTAGTTAGCTAGTAAATTAATTAGTCAATCAATTTTTTTTTAATTTAAGAATAAGGGTTGGAGAGGTTAAGAGTATTTGTAACTTACAGCTGTCTGTAACTCAGGACCCAGGGGAATCTTCTGACCTGTGGGCACCAGTCATGCACATGTTTCACACATGTAGGAAGGCAAGAAAGTCTTACATACAAAATAATAAAATAAAAGCAGGCATGGTGTCACATACCTGTGACAGCAGCCCTCAGGAGATGGAGGTCAGAGTATCAGGTTGTGACAACATAGTGTTTGGGAGGCATCCTGGACTGTATGAGACCCTGTCAAAAAAAAAAGTGTTTAGCAGACATTATTTCTTTGGACATTTTATGGGACATCTGTAGTCAACAAGTGTTAGCAACTCAGTACCTTCTTTTCCAACCCACATGCTAACTAACCCTCATCCTGCTTAACTTCCAACACCAAATGAGATCAGGAACACTTGGCTGGTATGGCCACAGATAACATATTGTCTTTTTCTACTGTCCTGAAAAAACAAAACAAACAAATAAACAAAACAGAAGAACCAGCAGTCTATCTCAGATGGAGCTGTGCTTATATATATCATATAGCTCTCCCACCACAGTTAGTTCTAGTAGGGCAGTCCCTTTATCTCTTTCATTAATACTGGTGCTTCTCCAGTGTTTAGTACACAGTAGGTGGTCAGATTTCTTTTCTCTTTTGTTTTTGTTTTTTCCAGACAGGGTTTCTCTGTGGCTTTGGAGGCTGTCCTGGAACCCACAGAGATCCACCTGCCTCTGCCTCCCGAGTGCTGGAATTAAAGGCGTGCACTACTACCACTTGGCTTGATTCAGCGATTATAAAGTAATGTCACCAGTGTTGTGATTTAAGCAAAGCAGTGCACAAGAGAAAGACTCTATTCAACAGGGTTCAAGCAAAGGGGGTTTTTATTAGGGAAAGGGATCACAAAAAGGGGTAAGGGGAGTGGGGAGACCGGCCTTCGGGGACAGGAGCAGCAGGAGAGAGGAAAGAGGCACGCAGAGAGACAGAGAGAAGGATGGTTGGTGAACAGGCCCTTTTAAAAGGGAACATAGTGAATATGCACAGGTGGTGCTCTTAGTGGCTGCAGCTGAGGGCGCATTCTGTCAGAACCCCAAGGGCAGCCCAGTACAGATGCCTGAATACTAACCACCAGGAGGTCTGTGTTTGATTTTACTGTGCTGGGGCTCAAATTGCTAGTTCTTTGAGTTTGTGCTCTCTGCCATGTTTATAGTAGGAAAGTTACAATCTATGTGTTCACGTGTTTTTATTTTAGTGTGCTTAAAATTAATAATCACTTATGTGTGTCTCAAAAAAAAAATTAATTTCAGGAGCCTGCAAGGAAGCACAAGGTTTAGTCAGCTTGTGGAAGAGTTGTTGAAAATCACTGATGCTTTTGAGCTTGACACAGGAATGCAATGTAAGTGTTACACAGCCCTGGAGGCAATGCTCAAGGGGCTGGCTGGCTGGGAAACTTGACAAGTTTTTCAAGTAACTTTCTGTGAGTAGGTGATAAGACTGTGTAAGGACTAAGGTTTTTCCTCCCGCCACCAGTCTTGTCCTGCTGCCGCACCAGCCCCAATTAACACACAGAGACTCTGTATTTGATATAATCCTGTTGGCCTGTTACTAGTTTCTTATCGGCTAGCTCTGTCTTAATTATTAACCCATTTCTATGTATTTCCACGTGGTCTTACCGAGAGTGGAGGAATGGCAGTTCTGTTCTCTCCAGACTCTCCATGCTGACCCTCCTTACTACTTCCTCTTTCCTCCTTGTCTCCTAGTCCCGCCTATCTTACTTTCCTATTGGCCAACAGTGCTTTATTCATTAACCAGTGCTTTATTCATAAACATATACAGAATGACATCTCCCATCAAGACTGTATTTATTTAGTCTGGTTGAAAGTTAAATCTGTGCCTGGAATTGTGTTTTATTTATTTTGGGGAGCATGGGCTAGGGCAGATGTGCCAAAGTGGAACTCAGAAGTCATCTTCAAGTATTGTTCCTCGGGACCATGCATATGGTTGTTTGGTGGGTTTTTGTTTTTGTTTTTTTGGGGGGGGTTGTTTGTTTGTTTATTTATCGTATTTACATTTTATGTATATGAATGTTCTGCATGTATACCTGCATACCAGAAGAGGGCACCAGATCCTATTATAGATGGCTGTGAGACACCATGTGGTTGCTGGGAATTGAACTCAGGACCTTTGGTAGAGCAGTCAGCGCTGTTAACCTCTGAGCCATCTCTCCAGCCCCACACATGTTTTTTTTTTTGAGGCAAAGTTTCTCACTGGTACATGGTGCTTGCCAGTTAGTCAGGGCTGATTGGCCCAGATCCTTGTGTCTGCCTTTCCTGTGCCCAGCTTGTTATGTGGGTGTTGAAAATCAAGCTCTCTGTCCAGCCTCTTTAATTCCTCTTTATGTATTTTAAAAGTTCCTGTATATGGGAGTTTTGCATGTATGTGCTGGCTAGTTTTTTTTTATGTCAACTTCACAAGCTATAGTCACCTGAGAGGGACCCTCATTAGAGAAAATGCCTCCATAAGATTGGGCTGTAGACAAGCCTGTAGGACATTTTCTTAATAGTGACTGATGTAGGAGGGCCCAGCTTCCTACATGTACTGGGTCACCCCTGGACTGGTGCTCCTGGGCTCTATAAGAGAGCAGGCTGAGCAAGCCATGGGAAGCAAACCAGGAAGCAGCATGCCCTATGACCTCTGTATCAGTGCTTTACCTCTAGATTCCTGCCCTGCTTGAGTTCCTGTCCTTACTGCTTTTGATGATGGAACTATTATATGGAAGTATAAGCCAAACAAACCATTTCCCACCCAAGCTGCTTTGGTCATGGTGTTTTAGCAAAACAGTAGAAACCCTAACTTAGACAATGTATGTCAGTGTACCATGTATGTGCTTGCTGCCTGCAAACTCCAGACAGAGTTGGATTCCCTGGAATTGGTTATGATGGTTTTGAGCCACGATGTGGATGCTGGGGGTCAACTATGGGTCCTCTGGAAGAGCAACTAGTGCTCATATAATTTCTGAGCCATATCTCCAGCTTTGTGTTATGATGGGTGTGGCTCAGGTATGCCACAGCATGTATGTGCAAATCAAGGCAGGTTTTGGGAGTTGCTACTTTCCTTCCACTATGTGGATCTCAGGGATTGAACTATGATCTTTAGGGTTGGTGCTCACTGCCTTTACTCACTGACCCTAGTTTAAAATTTTTTATTACTTGTAGTATGTTTGAATGCAGACATACATTCACTAGAGCACACATTTAGAGGTCAGAGGACAACTTTAGGGTTGATTTTTTTTTTTTTTTTTTTTTTTTTTTTCTCCTACCTTTACGTGGTGTTAAACCTGAAAATGGGCCTGGCAAGTTGGCTCAGCAGTTAAGAGCCCTGGCTGCTCTTCCAGAGTTCAAGTCCCAAGAACCACATTGGGGCTCACAACCATGTACGAGATCTGGTGCCTTCTACTGGCAAACATGCAGGCAGAACACTGTATACATAATAATAATAAAAAAAAAAAAATCTTAAAAAATCTGAAAACTTCGAGGAGAGAGAACAAATCCCCAATTGTCTAATTAAAGCAAGCTTTATTTAATGCTGGTCAGGACTATGGACACTGGCCTGGTCAGATCCATACCTGAGATTCCCAGAGAATGGCTAATGACTAATGTTTTGTTAGGTGCTTATAAAGGTAGAACCCACAAGGCTATCCTGCCTTTGTCCAATGAGGGTCAAGCGTACAGCCTGACATACTTCCTGCCTACTTTCCTCCCACTTAGGTGAGATCAAGCACATCCTGTGCAGTTGGGGCAACCAACTTTGTTTACAGAAGTAGGAACACATGGCTTGTTATCTCACATGAACAGTAGCCCCTAGCATTCCAGGAAGTTATCTATTCCTTGGGCAAGTGGGGCTTACAGGTTCACTGGCCCTCACACATGGGGTCAAACTCAGGATGTAAGGGCTTCACAGCAAGCATTTGTACCCCATCTTGATAGCCTGTATTTAAACAACTCCTATCAGTTCCACATTTTATTCTTCATTCCAAAAATGTATCTTTATGTCTCTGAAATTGGAGCATTTTATCAATTGTATGTGATTGCTTAACGTTTCCTTTCTTGTGGTATAAACAATAGTGGTGCATCTTACATTTGTTACTCCTTCAATTCAGAGAAACAAGGTAAAAATTTGTTAGTGGGCAAATGTATTGGTTTCTAGGTGTATGGGGGAAATAATTTGGATAGTCTCTTAATTTCCAAACTGGACTTTAAAATTTTTTTGGGGTAAATAGAGCAGGAGAAATGGCTCAACAGTTAAGAATGCTTTACTGCTTTTACAGAGGACCAAGGTTCAGAGTTCATCAGTGACAGCAGGTGGCTTACAACTCCAGGGGATCCAATGCCTTTTAACTTCTACAGGCACCTACACCCACATACTACACATGAACTCATGCATGCATACACAAGTACACATAGATTAAAAAATAAATTAGATGCCGGGCGGTGGTGGCACACGCCTTTAGTCCCAGTATTTGGGAGGCAGAGGCAGGCCTGGTCTACAAGAGCTAGTACCCGGACAGCCTCCAAAACCACAGAAACCCTGTCTCCAAAAACCAAAAATAATAATAGTAGTAATAATAATAAATTAGAAATTAAAGATAGACATGGTGGCATACACCTTAAATTTTAGTTCTCAGGCAGAGGGAGATGGATCTCTGAGTTCAAAGCTATTAAATTTCAGACTCATGAAGACTATATAGAATCTGCTTCAAGCATACAAAAGAACAACAAAACAAATATATCTGTAATGCATTGCTCTATTTTATTTGTATTTCAAGACAGGGTTTCTCTATGTAGCCTTGGCTGTCCTGAAACTCAATAACCCTCCAGCATATGCCTCTGCATTGGGATCAAAGGTGTGGACTACCACAACCTCCAACACCAGCTTGTTTTGTTTTGTGCATTATCTGTATACAGCAGGAAGCAAACACAGTATTCTTTTGGGGTATTTAATGAAGACTAATGTTTTCTTCTAACTAAAACATGTTCCTTTATGTTTTAAAGTTGCAAACAGTTACAGTATTTCAAAAGTGAAAAATTCTTCTGAACCTTTGAATGAGGAGGCTTCCATCATCCAGAGTGTGGGCTACCGAAACCGTGTCAAAAGTCTTCGACGGATTGAATGTTCTGGAAATGCCACCTTGGTAAAGCTGTTTTCAGGGTTTTTTTTTTTGGGGGGGGGGCATCTATTTATTAAACGTGAATAAGAGTTATAAACTTAGAAGTTCAGGGTACCAGTTGTGATCAAAAGACACTTTATAGGCCGTTCCCCTGTTCTATAACTTCATCAACTCTGACATAATATCAGTGATCTTTTGTAGGTATTTGAAAATTACTTAAACTTAACCACTGTTATTATCAAAGAAAATGTAATGACTTAGTCTCTTTGTGTGTAGCTAGATCACAAACTACACCTTATTAAGTGTTGTTAGGAATGCTGGGATTTTATGGTTGTCATTAATCCTTTTTTAAATTAAATATTTAATTTATTTATTTACTTGTTGGTTGAATTTGGTTTTTTTTTGTTTGGTTGATTTTTTTTTTTGTTTTGTTTTGTTTTGTTTTGTTTTGTTTTGAGACAGGGTTTCTCTGTGGCTTTGGAGTCTGTCCTGGAACTAGTAGCTCCGTAGACCAGGCTGGCCTCGAACTTACAGAGATCCACCTGCCTCTGTCTCCCGAGTGCTGAGACTAAAGGCGTGCACCACCACCGCCTGGCTATGCTTTACATTTTATGTTGCCAGTCTTAATCAGATGTGATTGGAAATACAGACTATCAGCTTTAGATTTTTCTATACTAAAACTTAGTAAATACTCATCATCATAATTAGTTTTGTAAAAATAAAGGAAATTTTCAAAACATAAAACTTAGGCATTCTTTACTGTTTAACAGAAGGACAGTCTCAGTGTTCAGCTGTCTAATCTTGGAATTGTGAGATCAACAAAGAAAAATCGTCAGGCACAGGCTCGAAATAAATCTGTGTACATTGAATTAGGTAAGGTCTCAGATTTGATTAAGTTTGAAATAATAATTGCTAGATTATTTGACTTAAACTTTTATCAAAAACCTTGGTTGTGATTTATGTGTGTTGCACTGAGTTTTGGTAAATGAAAATAATTTTATAGGCTCTATTAAAAAAGGAACAAAAGGAAAGATTTCTGGTTATTAATGTAAGTGAATTTTGGAAAAATATAGTCACAATAATAAAAAAAAAAAAAAAAAAAAAAAAAAAAACTTGATTAGAAAGAGCCAGGATAAACTGTACAGGCCTTTCACTTAATTTCCAGCTGGCCAAAAAGAAAAAAAATGAAATGAGCCCAAAGCTCAAACAAGTCTCTTTAACTATATTTTCTAAGAATTTGTGAGGGTGGCCAAATTTGTTATCCCAGCATTTGAGAGGCTGAACCAGGAAGGTCAAGAGTTTGAGGTCACCCTGGGATACACAGAACACCTATCTCAAAAATATCTAAGTAATCCAATTGGCAAGAATGGTCCTATTTTGAGTTCCCTACACCACCATGGGTCTCTGTTACATTTATTGGATTTCTTTGAAATTAAATTGTGTGTGTGCTGGTCATAATAAATCCATCAATAGTGATGGTGTTTTGTGAAAATATTTCAATTGGTAAAGACACTTGATAACCTACATTCCTACATTCAGTCCCTAGATTCTACCTAGTCGGAGAGAACCAACTCTAAGAAGTTGTTCTCTGACATCTACTCTACACACACACACTTGTTAATTAAAGCAGTTACTATTTAGGAGCACTTAACTGTTTTGGTTTTTTGTTTGTTTGTTTGTTTGTTTGTTTTGTTTTTTTGAGACAGCGTTTCACTGTATTGTTTTGGAGCCTGTCCTGGAACTTGCTCTTGTAGACCAGGCTGATCTCGAACTCACAGAGATCCACCTACCTCTGCCTCCCGAGTGCTGAGACTAAAGGTGTGCGCCACCACCACCCAGCTACTTAACTGTATTTTAAGTGCTGTTGTACTTTTTGTGTACCTCATCTAAGGTCCTGATGTGGTTACTAATTTTATGGGTAAGAAAATTAAGTCACAAAGAGGTTAAGAATTTGAAAATAGGGCTGGGCAGTGGTGGTACACAATTTCAGTCCCAGCACTCAACAAGCAGAGAGGAAGGTATCTCTCTGAGTTCTAGGCCAAGCTGGTCTACAGAGTGAATTCCTGGATAGCCAGAGCTATGGAGAGAAACCCTGTCTCAAAAACTCTAACCAAAAAAAAGAGGCGGGGGTTTGGGCGTAGGAAGTTGGCTTTGAAGCCCTCGCTTTCAGCCACTTTTCTGAATTGCCACATATGCTACCACATAGTGGGAATTATTTATATAATGTAACATAATTATTTGTACAAAATACACATTACAAGTATTTCTGGGCGAACCACTCTGTGTTTTGTGAATTTTTTTTTGTTTGTTTGTTTTGTTTTTTGATTATTTTAATTAAAAACTTTGAATAATTTTGCGGTTTTGTTTTTTAAGAGTCTGATTCTTCTGAAGAGACAGTTAGTAAACCAGAAGACTGCAGGTGAGTCACAAGGAGCCTTTGTCTATGAAGGTGATATTTTCATATCTAATTAATATTGAGGATCATAGATTTAGGTCATGTTATTAGAAGAAACTTCAAGGATTATTATTTAGTTTCCTCTGTTTATTTTATTTCCTGGGAAACCTTTTTTGTTTGTTGTGCTTTTTTTTATTTTTTTCATTCCAAAGGAGTTTTAGATAACAGTGGAAGTCAGCACACACTTGTTCCCACCCAATGGTTATTCTCTGAGTTTCTCATATATGGTAGTAATTATGCCTGATAAAAATACTAGAAGATCTGTTTGTTTGTTTGTTTGTTTGGGGGCAGTCTATGTAGCACTAGCTGTCCTGGAACTCACAGAAATCTGTCTACTGCCTTCCAAGTGATTAAAAGCATATGCCACCACACCTGACCCAAAGGTTTTGTTTACAGATTACTTTTACTTAATCTTAAAATGGGAGGGTGTGTGCTGGAAGTACGGTTCAGTGGTAAAGATTAAAGAGGTTTTTTGTTGTTTTAAGCTTTTATGCAGAGGTGAACTTGGTGGCACATGCCTTTAACCATAGAACTGTTCTTTTGTGGGGCAGGAGCCCATGGATTTCTATGAATTCAGGGCCATCCTGGTCTATAGAGAGAGAGACTGTCTCAAAAAAAATTACGTGTGTGGTTACTTTCCCTGAACTTATATTTGTGAACCACACTTGTGCCTCATGCCTGAAGAGGCCAGAAGACTGGATCCAGTCCCCTGGAACTGGAGTTACAGATGTCTATGAGCTAACCTGTGGGTGCTGGGGATCAAACCTGGGTACTCTGGAAGATCAACCAGTGCTCTTAACACTGAACCATTTCTCAGCCAGATATGATAGATAGCACATGCCTTTAGTCCCAGGACTCAGGAGGCAGAGACTATTAGATATCTGAGTTCAGGACAGTCAGGGCTACACAGAGTAACAAAACAAAACAAGATACTGGACCATTTCTCCATTACTCCAGGCGGTTAGAACATCCACTGGAAAGTGTGCTCATCTCAACCTACAGGGAATCCCATACCCCTGAAGAGAACTAACTCTCTCTCCCTTAGAAGCTCTGGACTGTCCATAACTCCTTAGTTGGGGGTGTGGGCTCATGAACCCCTTTTTCTATGCTAGAATGTTGACAGGCTTGATCTTGTACAGATGTTGTGCAGACAACCGTAGCTGCTGTGAGTACATGACTGCTTGTCATATCCAAGAGACACTGTTTTGGTCTGGTCTTTGCAACCTCTGGTTCTTAGACTCTTTCTAGCCCTTCTTCCCCAATGATCCCTGAGCATGCAAGTGTGTTCTTATTTGCACATCCAGAAAGTGTCCTACACTATTCTGGTTTTTATGACTGCTCTCAGTCTTCAACCATTCCATTTTTACTGGAAGGCACTTAGAAGAGAGCATATTTTAAAAGGTGAGCCCACCTGCTCAGCTAATTATTACAGCCCTATCTAGAGGAGCTAAAATATTTGATCTCACCCATTTCACAGGTTTGTGAGCAGTCAACTAGAATTTCTCATTAGGGCTTCTGTCTTTTCCCCCTTTTAGTGTGAGAGACCAGGAACTGTTACAAACCACCCCTCGGGGAGCTGGAAATGAAGCCAGTTTGGATTCTGCAAACAAGGGTAATGTCAAGCCTTCCCACCTTAATACACTAAAGAGAGTAGGTAGATGCAGTTCTGTAATTAAATTAATGTGAAGACCAGGTTCCAAATTTGTAATTTATAATTCACAGCATCTTTTTAAAGAATTAAAATATCTTTTTTTTTTTTTTTTTAAGCTACCCAAGTGCTGGGATTATAGTCACATACCACCAGCCCTCGCTGTCCTTTCCTCTTAATTGCTATATTCCATTTTTGCCACCTGGGTATGGTTTCTTTCTGTTTTGACTGATTTAGAAACAAGCATACTATAGCTTACCCTGGTCTTGAACTATCAGCATTTTTCCTGCCTTAACCCTCCCAGTGATGGAATACCACAGCCGCCTGTCAACAGTTTTTAAATGTAGAGCGTGAGTCTGTAAACAGAACAGAAAACTTGAGGTTTGTTGATCAAATAATCTGCTTTTTTTTTTTCAATCTTAAGAGACCAGGGGAATAGGGGATGTGACCTAATTATCACGTTTGGGAAAACATCAGACTCTGCATAATGGGATTACATGAAAGAGTATGAGCTAGACCTTCAGTATACTTGTAGTTTATGATGTTAACTCCTCTAAAGCCAATGGAAGCTGGGTAATGGCAGCACACACCTTTAATCCCAGCGCCCAGGAGGCAGGGACTCTGTGAGTTTGAGATTAGCCTGGTCTACAGAGTGAGTTCCAGGACAGTCACGGCTACACAGAGAGAAACCCTGTCTCAAAAAAACAATAATAATAATTAACAACAACAAAAAGCCAGTGGTCTGGGGCTGCAGTTAGGAGAATTTGTTGCTATTGTAGAAGACCTGGGTTTGATTCCCAGCACCCACATGATGGTTCACAACCATCTATAACTCCAGTTCCAGGGGATCTGAAATCCTCTTCTGTGTTTCATGAGCACCAAGCATGCCTATGATAGTGCATGTACATACATGCAAACAAAACATTTATATAATCTAAAATTTTAAAAAGGCTCGTTAGTGGATTGATTTTTACTTCCAAGTTGTATTAGTATATATTTTCTCATGATAATTCCTTGTTATTTTGTATATTTCAGCTGCTTGTGAGTTTTCTGAGGACGTAACAAATATTGAACAGCACCAGTGCAGTATTAAAGATTTGAACCCCATTGAGAATCATGCAACTGGAAGGCATCCAGAAAAATGTCAGGGTATTTCTGTTTCAGACTTACATGTGGAGCCATGTGGCACAGATATTCATGCCAGCTCATTACAGTGTGAGAACAGCAGTTTATTACTCACTGAAGACAGAATGAATGTAGAAAAGGCTGAATTCTATACTAAAAGCAAACAGTCTGGCTTAGCCAGGAGCCAACAGAACAGATGGGCTGAAAGTAAAGAAACATGTAATGACAGGCAGGTTCCCAGCACTGAGGAAGAGGCAGGTCTGAATGCCGATTCCCTCTGTGGGGGGAGAAAACAGAGTAATCAGAAAAGTCTGTGTCCAGAGGCTTCCAGAACTACCCAAGATGTTCCTTGGATGACACTAAATAGCAGCATTCAGAAAGTCAACGAGTGGTTTTCCAAAACTGGTGAAATGCTGACTTGTGGTGGCACCCCTGACAGGAGGCGTGAGGTGGAAGTCCCAAATGAAGTAGATGGATGCTCCAGGGTTCCAGGGGAAATGGACTTCGAGGCCTCCGATCCCCATGATGCTTTAAAGTGTAAAAGTGAAAGAGACCTCTCCAAACCAGTAGAGAATAATATCCGAGATAAAATATTTGGGAAAACGTATCAGAGAAAGGTAAGCCTCCCTCACTTGAACCACGTAACTGAAATTATTGGCACATTTACTGCAGAGCCACAGATAACACAAGAACACCCCTTCACAAATAAATTAAAACGTAAAAGGAGAACTACATGCCTTCATCCTGAGGATTTTATCAAGAAAGCAGATTTAACAGTTACTCAAAAGACTCCTGAAAATCTAAATCAGGGAAGTGACCAAATGGAGCCAGATGGCCAAGTGATGGGTTTTACCAGTAATGGTCAGGAGAATGGAACACAAGGGAATGATCTTCAGAAAGAGGAAAACGCAAATCCAGTGAAGTCCTTGGAAAAAGAGACTGTTTTCACAACTAAAGTCAAACCTATAAGCAACAGTATAAGCGATTTGGAGCTAGAATTAAATGTCCACAATTCAAAAACGCCTAAGAAAAATCGGCTGAGGAGGAAGTCTTCAACCAGATGTGTTCTTGCACTGGAACCAGTCAGTAGAAATCCAAGCCCACCTGCTGAATTTCAAATTGATAGTTGTAGCAGCAGTGAAGAAACAAAGAAACACAAGAACATTAGAACACCTCAACTCACGGAGAACATAGAACCTACGGAGAACATAGAACCTACAGCAGATGCCAAGAAGAATAACGAGTCAGATAAACAAATAAGGAAGAGAAGGGCCAGCGATGCTTTTCCAGAAGAGAAATTAATAAACATACCCGGTTTATTAACTAACTGTCCAAGTTCTAATAAACCTCAAGGACCTGCCCATCCTAGCCCTCAGAGAAAAGTGGAGAAACTTCAAACAAGCCAAATGTCCAACAGTGCCAAAGACTTGAAGGATCTGTCTCTGGGTGGAGAACAGGCTTTGCCCACTGAGAGATCTGAGGAGAGTACCAGTGTTTCATTGGTACCTGACACTGATTATGACACTCAGAACAGTGTGTCAATACTAGAAGCTAACAATGTTAGATATGCAAAAACAGGATCAAGTCAGTGCATGACTCAGTTTGTAGCGAGTGATAACCCTACACTTGCTACATCTAAAGATGCTGGAAGTGGCACCGAGTGCCTCAAGCGTCCATTGAGACACGAACTTAGCCATATTCCAGAGACCATAGAAATGGAAGAGAGTGAACTTGATACTCAGTATTTACAGAATACTTTTCAAGTTTCAAAGCGTCAGTCATTTACTTTATTTTCAAAACCAAGAGATCCCCAAAAGGAGTGTGTAACAGCTTGTGCTTCCTCTGTGTCCTTAAGGGGCATGACTTCTGAAGGTGAACAACAAGAAGAAAATCAGGAACACGAAGAGGCTGAAGTCAGTCACGTACAGGCAGTGCCTGCGACAGTGGGCTTATCTCTGCTTCGTCAGGAAGGCGAGCCAGGCGCTGATACAGTGCATGCTGGAGTGTCCAGGCTTTATCCATCATCTCAATACAGAAGCAATGAAAGTGTTCTCGGCACTGCGGGTAACCCTGGAATTCCACAAAACTCACATCCTAAACAATCAGTTTCTCCCATCAGGTCCTCTATGAAAACTGGTCATGGGAAAACCCTGTCAGAGGAACAATTAGAGAAGCATACATTGTCAACTGAAAAGGCAATGGGAAATGAGACCTCTGTTCAAAGTACAATGCACACAATTAGCCAGAACAACAGAAAAAATTCTTGTCAAGAAGCCAACTCGAATAGTGTTAATGAAGTGTGTCCCAGTGGTGAAAACTTCCAAGGACAACTAGGTCAAAACAGAGGGACTAAGTTCAACACTGTGCTTCCATTAGGTCTTATGCAACCTGGAGCCTGTAAGCAAAGTTTTCCTGCGAGTGATTATAAATATCCCGAAACAAAAAAGCAGGAAGTTGAGGCTGTTGGTGCAGATTTCTCTCCGCGTCTGTTTTCAGATAAGCTTGAACAAGCTGTGGGCAGTGGTTATGTTTTTCAGGTTTGTTCTGAGACACCTGACGACCTGTTGGATGATGTTGAAATACAGGAAAATACTAGCATCGGTGAAGGTGACCTAATGGAGAAGTCTGCTGTTTTTAACGGTAGTGTCCAGAGAAGAGAGTTCAGTAGGAGCCCTAGCCCTTTGACCCATGCATCGTTGGCTCGGAGTCTCCAGAGAAGGCCTAGGAAGTTAGAGTCTTCAGAAGAGAGTGGATCTTGTGAGGATGAAGACCTTCCCTGCTTCCAACACTTACTTGGCAGGGTAAGCAAAACACCTGAACCTACCAGACATAGCGGTGTTGTGACACAGCATCTGTCAGAGAGAGCAGAGGGGACCCAAGCGCCATGGAAGCGTAGCATCGGTGACTATGATAACGAGGTGATCTTGGTAGAGGCGTCTCAGGAACATCACCCTAGTGAGGATGCAAAATACTCTGGCAGCATGTTCTCTTCACAGCATAGTGCTATACAAGATTTAACTGTAAACCCAGGCTCCCAGGACCCCTTGTTTATTCCTTCCAAACAAAAGAGTCATCAGTCTGAGGATGAGGAAGATTTTCTAAGCGACAAGGAATTGATTTCAGGTGATGAAGAAGTGGGAACTTGCCTAGAGGAAGATGATGATAAAGAAGAGGACATTATGATCCCGGATTCAGGTAGTTTTGTCTGTTTGCACCAGTCCACAGAAGTGAGCTGTATGTCTTTTAGGGTTACATGAGTTTCTAAGTACAGTTACATTAATTGCTGCTTAAACTTGAAAGATGTTCCTCCTGGAGTTCTTTTCCATAAAAGTCAAAAGTCCTTCCTGGGCCTAGAGAGGTGGGGGATTGGAGGGGGCTTTGGAAAGATGGCTCAGCTGTTAAGAGCACTGGCTGTTCTTTCCAGAGGACCCAAGTTCAAGCCCAAGCCCCCATACGGCAGCTCACAATTTTCTGTCACTTCCATTCCAGGAGGTCCAACACCCTCATGTAGACAGGTATAACACCAGTCCACATAAAATAAAAATAAATAAAAGGGGAAAAAAAGAATAGGTACTCTCCTGCAATAAACCTAAGCTTGGTTCCTAGCATCCATGACAGGTAACTAACTCCAACTTCAGGAGGATCTAATGCCTCTGGCTTCCACAGGTACCTGCTGTGTTCACATAAGTAACCCACACAGATACACAAGATACACATGATTAAAAATCATAAAAAGAAAAATTTTTTTCAATGCCTTCATGTACCCAGAATGTCTGATAGGATGAACTTGAATGACCTAATTGCCAGTAGACTTGCTTCTGGGTTTTATTGCAAAATGTCTAAGACATGGTCTCTGAGTAGCCCTGACTGCCTGGAACAAAGATCTGCTTGCCTTTGCCTCCCAATGGGATTAAATGCATTCACCACCACACCCAGCCTGTTGTAGGAGTTCTGAAATGAAATCCTGTGTCCCAAATTTACTCATTTATGTGACATGAAGGGAAACAAGTGCTGTGAAAGGGAAGGGGTGGACAGTGCAGGCTGCAGAGTTCATGATCTGCTTTTACATCTGAGTCTGATTTTATTTGTCATTCAAGCTGAAGCGGCATCTGGATATGAGAGCGAAACAAACCTTTCTGAAGACTGCTCACAGAGTGACATTTTAACCACTCAGGTAAAAAGCATTCCAAAGTTTATGATGTTCTTTGTATATGGTGCTATGAACCCTCCGTTCTTACACCTGCTGGTGTCATGATGTCATTGGCCTAACAGCTGTGCACGATGCCTCAGGTCCTCAAATGGGATTTTTACAGTGCCCTGGTGAAACTAGATACCTTTTATACTTTCAGTACCATCTAGCCCACTGTAGAACACTGAATACTAACTTTAATATTGTCTCCCCACCCCCAAGAGACCGGGTTTTTCTGTTAGCCCTGGCTGTTCTAGTACTCACTCTATAAATCAGGCTGGCCTTAAACTCACAGAGATCTTATCTTTCTTAGAGCCAGAACCTGACTCTGTCACCTAGTTTTCATTTTGTAAAAGTGATATCTTAGATTCATCAGGGTCTTTCTTTCCTGTGGTTGTCCCTCACTAGCTGGACAACTTCTTAGGGTTCCCTCTGCATTCCTGCACAGGGTCCTGTGCTGAGCACACAGCAGTTCTGGTACAAGCACTAGTCAGAGTTCTCTATACCTGACTGTATGGTCTTGGCTGAGCGCTTATCTTCCTTAAATTGTAATAGGTGCAATCTCTTTTTCTTTCTTAACGTTTGTACGTATGTGAGTGTGTCTGCCACCAGGGTAAAAGTGTGGAGGTCAGGTGACACCTTATGGAAGTTGGTTCTGGGGATCAAATCAGGCCCTCACATGTGGTGGCAAGTGCTTTTGTGCTCTTTGCCGGCTCACTGGTCCAGTAGGTACATTGTTAAAATGGAGTTGTTTGAAAGCTTTTTAATCACCCTTTTTAGCTTTTGTTTCTCTCCTAAAGTGTAAATGTGCTTTTTAGCTGCCAGCCTGTGAGTAATTTTTCTTGTCTTCCTAAAAAGTACTAAATTGAATGATACTGGGAATTCATAGTATTCTTAAAGTAATTTTGTTGTTATCAAAAACCCAGAAAAGGAGCCAGGCCTGGAACACACCCCATTAGTCCCAGCACTCCAGAGGCAGAGGCAGGTGAACATCTATGAGTTCCAGGCCAGCCTGGTTTATGTTGTGAGTACCAGGCTAGCCAGGGCTACAAATTGAGACCCTGCCTCACAATGAAATTAAATAAAAGTAACCCAAGAAACCATTAAGTAATTCTATATACTATATCAGTGACTTTTTAATCTTATTAATTGTGTTGGGAATTGTTGATGCTGGGCTAGCACTATACTATGCATAGTGCTACCTCCCCAGCCTCTAACTATATTGGGGGTCGGGGATGGTTTTGTTTGTTAGGACAGCATCTACCTTTGTTATTTCTAAGACTGGCTCTGAACTTGAGAGCTTCCTGCCTCTGCATCTTGAATGCTGCAGTTATAGGGGTTATGTCTAACGTCTGTATAGCTTTCTGTTGTTTGAGTGTATAATGGTCTGTTTGCCCCTATGCTGCCTCTTGAGGGTCCTGGGCTAAGAGACACCATTGCTATTAGGCACAGCACTATAGTAGACATCCTGATTGCTAGATACTTAAAACCTCTCTGATTTTTGGTATATCAAACACAGTGTTAAATGCTGTTCTTTAGAGGTATTAAGCCAGCCCGGGTGTCTAGCTTCTGTAGTATGTGGAGTTTTCACTTTCCTGTACCTTTGCCAACACTAAGTGGTACCCAGTTTTTTAAGTAGTTTAATTCTTGACATTGCTGTGAGGATGACAAATAGAGAGGGCTTGGCTCCAACAGACATTCTCTGTTCAGGGTAAATCCTAGGCCTGAAGCCTGTAGGAATTGGGAGGAAACTGTTGAGACAACTGTCCACTCTGTGCCTCATTTGTCACCCAAATTCTCTACTTTTGTGACTTTGCTATAGTGATCAGAACGATTAAAAGACTTAGGAGATCTTCTCTCTATGTTCATTTTCTCTGATCCTTTCTGGATTTAGATTTGGGGCTCTGTCAATATGTCTGTCACCTAATTCTGTCCCTTGGCTGGTTTGCTTTTTAGGTTCCAGCTCTTTATTCCATCTGTCTTAGCCATACTGTATTATATTTGACATTCAATAAACCACTTTGTTGTTTCTTGTATCTCTGATCTTATTCCCAGAAATATGTTTGTTATTTATTTGTTCAAGATTCATTTTTAAAGTGTTTTTTTTTTTTATCATCTATCCAAAACAGGTAACTTTAATCTCGGCAAGCACAGATGAACAGAATGGTTGAAATGGGATCTTTACCCTGTCTTTATGTAGAACTGAGGAGTAATAGATGATAGATAGTGCCTAATTTGATATCATTAATATACCTTTTTGATGCTTATTGTGTGCATGTGTATACATACTCCACAACAGGCTGGCGAAGATGCAAGATTGTCTCCTCCCACCCTATAGGTCCCCTTCACCCACTGAACCATATTGGTTGTCCAACCCCCAACTCCTCCCCCATTAGCCAGACACTGATTCATCCATGCATTGATTTCTGCATTAAATGTTTGCCGAGAGCTTACTGTCTGTTAGACAGTGGGGTCAGGCATGGTGTTGCACACCTTGTACACCCATAACCTTAGCATTCCCAGCTTGGGGAAAGCTTAGACAGGAGAATCTCAAGTTTGAAGGTAGCCTGAGATACATAGGCCTGTCTTACAACAAAATCAACAAGGGAGGGTTCCTCCCATCAAGGAAGCTGTGTGTTCCCCTGAGTATACTGATGCACTGGCAGCCTGAGCCAAGTCATGTGGGGCTGCTAGACAATTAATTGGTGGGGATGTCCATAGAAGACCAAATGGGAAAAGAGGGGAGGCGGCAACTGAGACAAGGATACAGAAGCTCTGGATGCTTAGGGATCACTGAGTAGTCCTGTGTCTCTAAAAGACCAGGCTTATGGGAAATGCTGCGGATAAATAACAGATAAGATCAAGGTGTGGGCAGACTTTTGAATGGTGTGTTTGGGAATTTGGACTTTGTCCTGAGGGTAGTAAAGGCTAACAGTTCTTTAATATTCAAAAATACTAACATATTATCTGAACCATATTATGGCGCTTAAGGCCCTTTTGGAAAAAGGGTAGATGTGGCTTGTAGGAAATTTCGGCAGAATGGCAGTAAGTAGCATTGTGGGACTGGAACTGAAGAAGAGAACTCACTAGAGGTATTTCAGAACTTGAGTTAAGCACACTCGGTAACCTGTCTGGCTTTGTCCTCCCTCGTGCAGTTAAGCAATTATCTGTAGTGGAATTTGTCTAAGTTATGCATTCCTTCCGATGGGAAAAGCCAAAAGAAGGTTACTGCACCATTGCTCGGATTGCTTTTTCTCCTGGTTTTCTGGTGTGTTTAATGGCCACTTGGGGTAGTCGTGGTTGCTGGCTTTAAAGCATTGTGTAGGGCCCTCGGCTCAGGTTTGATCGGTGATGTCAGTGATGTCAGTACTCCAGGGTACCACGTGGTGGCATTGGCGCCACTGCAGATGTCGCAGCAATACAGTCTCAGAGAGAGTAGCAGTGGGAACCCTTGTAAAGCTAGAACTACAGTTTTTTTTCTGTCATAAAATCCTCCTGAGAACTGTGAATTTAGTGTTGCTGTAGGAAGAAAATAGCTTGTTTTTAATGAAGAGAAAAGTCATTTTCAAGGGTCAGAAGGTAAAACAGATACTGTGCCCTTCCCAAAGTAGAAAAACAGCATCCACATTCCTTCTAAAAGTGGTAAAGAAACATGTATTTTGGGAAATTACTTATATGCCTGCATTCTTTGCTTGTCAAATACCTTGGACTTGCTAAATTGTTTGTGGCAGGGTCTCACTGTGTAGCCCTGGCTAGCCTGAAACTCCCTACATACACCAGGCTATTGGGAGGGGCAGGGAACAGTGGCCATGCTGGACAAGAAAAAGTAGTAGCTACTGTTACGAGCTTTCTAGAATGTTATAGGAAATTATTCAACAATTCATCTGTTTAAAAAAACTAAATATACTTTGAGGCCAGCCTGGTCTACAAAGTGAGTTCCAGAACAGCCAGGATGGTTACAAAGAGAAACCTTGTCTTGAAAAAACAAAGCAAAAAACCTAAATATACTTGGAGCTGAGTATAGCGTCATGCAACTACTCTCAGCTACAAATCTTTTAAAAATAAAGTAATAATAATAATTTAATAATTAAGGGCTGGAAAGATGGCTCAGAGGTTAAGAGCACTGGCTGCTCTTACAGATTCCCAGCATCCATATGATAGCTCACAATTCCTGTTCTCGTGGATACAATGCCTTCTTGTGACCTCAGAGAGCGCTAGGCATACTTGTGCAGACAAAACATCTGTATACAGAATTTGGGGGGGGGGGTTCTTTATTTTGCTTTTTTAACAAGGCTTCTCTGTGTAGCCCTGGCTATCCTAATACTCTCTGTAGACCAGGCTGGCCTTGAACTCACAGGGATCCGCCTGCCTCTGCCTTCCGAGTGCTGAGATTAAAGGCATGTATCACCACCAACAGACCATTAAAAAATTTTGGGGGTGGGGGGGGACAAAAAACACACCCATTTTTTTGTGTGTGGACTAATCTCACAATATCAAATCTTTGAAGCATAGCTTATGTATGATGCTAACATATTCTTGCAGATTTTAAGCCTAAAGTACTGTTACTGTTTTCTATTTTCTTTCATCTTTAAAAGAAAATGTTGAGTTACAATGAAGCAAGTCTATTTGGGAGAGTCGGGGGATGTGCCCTCCTCTAACATGATTTTGAAATAATTTCAAGGTCATTAACCGCAGGAGTATGTATGGTTGGATTAAAAAGTATTCAACTAGAACCCATAATTCCATACTAGGTGATTTCAGTTCTCATGCTGGAATTAATTGATGTGACATATTTTTACTTTATGGTGCGCCTTTGAAAGTGTGTGACTCTCTTGGTGTTCTTTGGTTTTACAGCAGAGGGCTACCATGAAGGATAATCTCATAAAGCTCCAGCAGGAAATGGCCCACCTGGAAGCTGTGTTAGAGCAGCAAGGAGACCAGCCTTCTGGCCACTCTCCATGTCTCATAGCTGACCCTTGTGCCCCCGAAGACCCACCACACCCAGAGCAAGACATATCAGGAACAGGTTCGTAATGCCAAACAAACACCAGTATCATGAGCAAAATGATTCCCTTCCTTATTAACCTTCTGTTTCTTTCAGAAGGTGAGTCCTGAGTCCAACACGGAGTGAGTGATCTTTGCTCAGCACACATTTACTGAGTTGCCCCATGAGTGATTTGGGAGCCTTATTTCTAGGCCTTGCTCACAAGTGATGTTCCAGTCAGAGGGACCCAAGATAATCATGCACGTCATTCTCTGGTGTTTTCAAGGAGATGCTATGGAGACCCCCATAGGAGATAGAAAGAAACAGTTCTTGCTCTTAGTGGTTGGGGTGATTGGTAATAGGTATTCCTGTAATTTCAGAAAGCCATCAAAATAAGGACCATTGAGATGTACTCCTGACAGCGTTAGATCACAAAGCAAAGGCCTGTTTTATGAGTTTTCTTATTTGTAGAAAAAGATCTCCTATTTCATTTCAGGAGCTGCACCTTGGCTTTAGTTGGAGAGCAGGCTTTCTCTTTGCTGGAGCTTGTTTGTCACCGCAGCACTTCAGGTGCAGAGGCAGAGGGGTCAGGAGTTAAGGAGGTTTTCATTCAGAAACCGTACATATTGGTGCTTAGGGACCGACTGAGGTGTGAACCCCCCACAGTCGCTTCATTGTGGTCTTAGTAGTCCTGCATGAGTTGGTGCTCAAGTCCCTCCTCCACAGTCCTCCAACCGGCCCGAAGGCCTTCCTTTGACTCTTTCTAGGGATTCTCTGTTCATTATTCACTATAGTGACCTTGGTCTCCACTTGTGCCTTGTAGTATTTTTATGGTCAAAAAGAAACAGTAGCTCATGCAAAGGAGGCTGGGAATCCTGTTGCTATGGTACTGCTTCAGAAATGTATTTCCTTAAATACTTTCTTTGTAACTGCATTTTCACTTAGTTTATCAACAGATAATGAAGCCCAGAGTCCCATCCCCAATACAGTTATCTTTGGGGTACTGTCACTGTTCTATTGTGAAAATAGAAGACTTCAGTTCTGATGCACAAGAATTGTTACTGTCTGGCTCTCAATGTGTGCATAAAACTACTACCTCATGTTTGGCGCATACATGTTAGTTAGTTAGTTTTTCCCCCCCACTGAATATTTGTAGATAAAATGTTTCTTTGTAAAAAGAATAAAAATGTTCTTTGTGGTCCCTCTCTAAAGTCCTGTACTGTGAATACCATCTCCAGTTTTGAGCCTTTGTCTCCGTAAGCTGATGCTTTAAAAAAAAAAAAAATTGATTTCTTTTAGATATTTAGTCAGGGCCTGGTAGTACACATCTTTAATCACAGCACTCAGAAAGGCAGATGCTGGAGGGTCTCTGTGAGTTCAAGACCAGTCTGATGTATGTGTGGAGCTTTAGGATCTAGGACAGAACTACATAGAGAGATCCTGTCTCAGAAAACAAACAGGAAGTTACGTTCAATATAGACTTGAGCACTAGGGGTAAGAAGGCTTACGGAAAAGGTGCAGTGATGGTGTGTAGGATTCCCAGAGGCCCCTTGGGCGTGTCCAGTTTGTTCCTGGTGTTGTCTTAACGTTATCGTAATCACTTGTTTGCTGAATATGCTGTACATGCGTGTAATACATGTGCATGTATGTGTGCAGGTGTGCACACATAGGTATCCTCTTACTTTGAGGTAGTGTCTGTTCCTAAATCTGTAGTTTGCTTTCCTTTTGGCTACACTGGCAGCCAGCAAGCCCCAGCAATCCTTTTATCCTTGTCCCCTCAACCCTTAGCCCCAACACTGGGATTACAGATACACATGAGACCACAATGGTGTGTAACACAGGTCTATTTAGTATTCCTTTTTTTTTTTTTTTTTTTTTTTTTTTGCATTTTCATTGTATTTATGCATTTTTTGCATGTATGTGAGCATACATACAGATTGGCATGTGGAGGCCATTGGTTGGTGCCAAAAAGTCACTCTCCATGGCTCCTGCACTTCACTGGTTGAGGCAGGGTCTCAAAGTCAACCCCAGAATTTGCTGTTATGGCAAGTCTCCCTAGACTGCATGTTTTGGGGGATCCTTTGTGTCTGCCTTCCTAGGCTGGAATTACGGGTGACGGTCAGGCCCAACTGGTACTTATATGAATTTTGGGGACCCAAACTCTGGTCCTCCGACATGCATAGCAAGTGCTTTAATCACCAGCCATCTCTGCAGCCCATGATCTAGTATTCTTAAAGATGATAAAAGACCCCCTTCCCTGGGGTGTTAAAAGTCAATGTCCTGCTCTTCTGCACAGGTCTTCCTATTTGTATAAGGTTTATTCCACATCCTGCATAATATTTGTGAACAAAGTTATATGTTCTCATTATATCTTCCTCTGTAGATTTGGTTCTTTCGTATCAGGCACACACACAGTCTTTTCTGTCACGTAGAAAGCAAACAGCATTTGTGATATCATGGCCCATGTGGCAGAAGTGATTTTCAGATATATCCAAGTTTTTCTAGCTGGCAATATGTGTATTCCTAGAAACACTTGTTCAATTTTTCTAGGATCCTTCCCTGTGAATTCTGAAAGAGTTGAGAATTAGCGGAGATAAATGACTTATGTTCCTTCTTTGTGTGTGTTGGGGTGTTTTGTTTACCTTAGCAGGATTTTACTGTGTAACCCTGACTGACATGGAACTTACTCTGGATCTTCCTGCCTCTGACACCAGGCCTGACCACTAGTCTTTTTAATGAATAGAAGATACTTTAAATGTGTGTGTATGTGTGTGTGTGTGTGTGTGTGTGTGTGTGTGTGTGTGTGTATGTATGTATGTATAGTTTTTATACATACATAGTATAGTATAGTATACATATAGTATAGTATGTATGACTGTTTTTGCCTGCATCTGTGTATGTGTACTAAGTGTGTGCCTGGTGTCCACAGAGGTCACAAGAGGGCATCTGATTCCCTGGAACTGAAGGTTCAAATAGCTGTAGGGATTCCACATGAACATTTTATAGGTGCTGTGAACCAAATTCAAGTACTCTGTAAGAGCAACAAATACTCCTAACCACTGAGTCTTTCTTCATTTTTGATGTTTAAATATTTTACTGTGTGTGCTGGATCACATTTTTAATTCCAATGCCTTTTTTCAGGTGGTGGTAGGGTATCTTTTTTTGGACAGGGTCTCTCTAGGCTTTCCTAGGACTCCCTGTGTAAGCTAGGCTGACCTCGAACTCAGAAACCTCCCTATTCTCTCAGGTGTTGGTGTTGAACACTGTCCCTGGACTTTGTTTGTTTGAGATAAGGTCTTACTATGTAACCTTGGCTAGCCTGGAGCTCTCAGAGATTCCCTGCCTCTTCTTACCAAGTGCTAGGAAGGTGTGCACTAGCAGACCTAGATTCCAGTGGCTTTTTAATGGGATATAAGAAATTTAATTTTCAATTGTTTTTGATGTTTAAATATTTCTTCTGCTGTGCATAGTAGCACATGCCTTTAATCCCCTGCCCTTGGAGGTCCAGAGGTAAGCAGATCTCTCTACGTTTACTACTGATCTCCAGAATGAGTTCTTAAGCCATTTTCTCAAAGGGAATAGCTCATGCCAGGGCCTTGCCTTGGATCTGTTACGATTTTCCTATTCTTGTGCCTTTCATTATTAGTTTCTTCTATTACTCAAGATTACTTGAGGATGTGTGTGCATGTGGGCATGGGCTTGTGTGCTTTTGTTTGTGGGCTTAGTTTTTGTTGTGTTTGTTTCCCAAGAATTGAAAATGTGAGGTAAATGTCATCTCATCTTTCCTACCTCCTCCCCCCCAACACACATACACTAAAGTTTCAGCCTGGGTCCTGCAGTCTTTGATAGAAGATGGAGGAAGGGATGTGCCTTGTGCTTTCTAGTACTTTTGCTTTCCTGTTAGCAGAGATTTGGGCATAATTCAGTTTACTTCCAAGATAAGAATACATTATATGTTCTTGCTTTCTTATCATCCAGGGCCAAAAAAGAAAGCAGCATGCTTTGTTTGTTTTCAGCCTATGGTGACTGAGTAACTGCAGTCACCAAGGATGAAAGCTCTCTTATTCTTAGTATTTTGTGATTTTTGTCATCCTACCTGGTGCCAGCATTTGTCTGTTCAGTAAAATGTTATCTAATGTATTTGTTTAAATGCCAGTTTGAAGACTTGGAGTATAGTTCAGTTGGTAGTGTCTAATGGACATGTGTGAAGCATTTGGTACAATCTGGTACACAAAATCAGATGTCTGGCACACAGCTGGAACCCTGCACTTGAGCTGTACAGGCAGGAAGATGAGAGGTTCAGGGTTGTCCTTGGCTGTGCAATTCTGACACTGCCATTTGTGCTGACACATGCCAGTAAATAAAATACGATGCAAAGACGGAGGCAGGAGGATCGTGAGAGCCCTGTCTTACACCAAAAAAAGGAAAAAAAGAGCCAGTTTGATTATCATAGATTGCTGCTTTTAAAACAAAATCAATATCCTTACTTAAATCAAGAGCATCAAAACAAATAAGTAAAATAGATTTTTCTCATTCCACTTAAAGCAATTTTAACTTCAAAGAACATTAATGAAAATCCTGTAAGCCGGGATCCGACCTGCTTTTCTGCTGACAAGTTCCAACCACAACCTCCAGATGGTTCCAGCAGTGAAAATAAAGAGTCAAGAATAGGGAGGTAAGAAATGTTGGTCTGTGGCATCTAAGTGATGTCTTCACTTACTCCAAACTCCCTTCTGTTAACTTTCCTTCCATTCCTGAGGCTGAAATGACTCAGTCAATAATGTGTTTTCCATGGAAACATAAGGACCTGAGTTCAGATCCCTAGAACCCACCTAACAGTTATTTGTGCGGTACACATACTTGTAACTCTATACTGGGACTCCTGGGGCAGGGTGGAGACAGGCAGGTCCTGGGTTCAGTTTGCTCTAGATTCAGTGACAGATGGGTAGACAGCCATAGAGGTAGACTCCAGACACGTAGACATCCTCTGGACTCCACACTTACCCACACACTTGCATGCACAACCACATGCATGCCTACACCCATACAAAAAAATGCCAGGAGCACTAACACAAACCTGTAATCACAGCTCTGGGGTCACAACAGCACTAAAGACAGGCCAATTAGTGTATCTAAATTGGTTAGCTCCAAAAAGTTCCTGTCACAGAAATAAGGTATAGAAAAATCAAGTTGGATTCTCAGTGTCAATTTCTGCCTTCTGCCTGCAGCCTTGTGCATATAATGTTCATTCCTTCCTTCCTGGGGTTGTTTTGTTTGCTTTTGGAGACAGGTTCATCTTTGCTGGTCTGGAACTCCCTTTGTTGACCAGGCTGGCTTCAAACTTGGAATGATTCTCCTTCAGCCTTCCGAACACTGTGTGTACACAATTACAGACACTAAATAGCCCTGGGTCACATTGCTTTGGATATAGACTTTTGGGTATATACAAGGCTTAAGCTACAGCCTGAGAAATAAGCACTTAGATCTCTTTGTCTTTTAAAGGTCAGACTACAGTGCAACTGAACTAAAACCAAAACAAGCCTGGAAGCTGACCATAAACATCTCCAGACAGACCTTGCCCTAAGTGGAATTTTTGCCTTCCTAGAAAAAGTCTGTCTGTTAATTTGCTCTGGGAAATATTCAGAATACTATTCCAGGATATATATTTAACTCACTATTTCTAAAAAAAAAAAAAAAACTATATAGGGGAAAAAAAATAAGACTGTCGAGTTAGGTTTCTGAATTCAGGAATTAGAGGCAGGGACCACTACATGTTGCTTTTATTTTCAAAACTACTTAAACATGGGAGGGTAAACATCTCGTCTTCCAGGAGACAAAGGAACGCTTGTTATGCCTGTATTCTCCTTTGGGGAATGGTGACAGGTTGTTAGTAATTTAACAATGCCATCTTCTCCTGGCCTTGGATTTAATTGAAGATTTATTTTTAAGGCTATGGTACTGGCATTATGATTCTAACAAAAAAAAATGAAAAGATCAGCACTAAAGCCACATTTAGTGGTAATTATCTCCTTGGCATACTGAGTCATAAATACTCAGAAGACTGGAGGAATTACTTATTGGGCACATACACTATTAACATTTAATCGTTGACTTTTTTAAGGGGTGTGATGGTGGGGATCAAATACAGGCCTTCCCATATTTTACACAAAGTGTTTTACCAATGAAATATGTGCCTGCCCCAAAGGTTGGCCTTTTTGTATGTTTTTTCCAGGGTCTTGGATAGCCCAGGCTGGTTTTGAACTTACTATGCCTCAGGAGTTAGACTTTCAGTCCGCCTGGCTCGTTTTTTTTTTGTTTGTTTGTTTTTTTTTTTTTTTTTGTTTTTGTTTGTAATGTGTGAGTGTTTTATTCAAATGTATGTATCACATACATCCTGCATTAAGGTCATGGACAGTTGTGAACCACTGTGTGTGTGCTAAGACTTGAATCCAGATCCTCTGAAAGAAGAAAAAGTGCTTTTAACTGCTGAACCATCCCTCCAGCCCAGCCTCTTGTTTTAGAATGACTTTGGACATTGAAAATGCGAGGAGTAAGGGTGAAACTATAAATTCTCCTCAAATTAAGTAGAAATAAAATGTGGAGATGTCATCATTGCTTAGTTTTCTATCTCCATTAGAGACCTAACATGCATTTGGACTCAGGTGGAATAGTATAGACTCTGAATTAACATCAGTGGATAATTTGGGGGGGAAATGCTGACATGCTTTTAAATAACCCTGAGATGTACTGCCTCAGACCAGCCCTGAAGAGGAGATGTCATATGTCAGCTATGGCATGTTGGCAGGCATCATGAATCCAGGCTCCTGGGCTGTCATGTAGGCTCTTTTTTTGCTGGTCATTCCTTATTTCTCTGACAGTGAGATGTTTCACTTACGCTTTGGCTGCCGAGGAGTTATGATTAGGCCTTTCTGAATTGGTGGTGATGGTTTTCTTCTTGCATCCATCTTTCCAGGCCTTCCCCTTTTAAATCTCCGATGGCAGGCAGTAGGTGCTCCGCACACAGCCACTCTGGGAGTCTTCACAGCAGAAACTGCCCATCTCAAGAGGAGCTCCTTCAGGTTGTTGAAGCAGGGAAATCATGTGAACAGCACAACTTAACAGGACCAAAGCAAGATCTAGGTAATGCTTCATCTTTTTTAATGAAACACTGTTTGACTCTGTATCCTGTATACAAAGTACACTTCTGAAAAATAACTTGAGCTGCAATGCGAGTCGCTGGAAAATTATTGCAACTGTAAGTGGAGGAGACTCTCAAACAGTGGGTCCTCTTGAACCCTGGATTAGGCACAAACCACACCCAAATCCCTGTTTCACAGAGAGATCCTTTATTAAGCAGGAAAGAGAAATTTAAAATGATTGCTTTTTGACTCAGGCAGAAAACAGCATCAAATGACCTTACAGGTATAATTTAAGAGGAGGAAAAGGGGAGGTCTGTGTTAGCATGGGCTAGGATGTGGTGGTAAAGGGCAGGGTATTTGTCCCTGAAGGACAGAGGACTCTCTGGATAGGGAGGAGATAGAAGTGGCACTCAGGCAAATGGTGGTTACAAAGGAAAAGGGGAACCCACATTAGGATGACTTTTAGTTTTACTTGAGCATGTTAATAGGTGAACCAAAGGGTCTGCTGATTGCTGGACTTCAATAACTGGACCTTGGTAGTCAGCCTTAGGAGAGGAAAGTGGCCAAATAAGGGAATAGGTCTTGGTGACCAGCTTTAATAGTGTAATCTGTAGCCTCACAGGATGGGAGGAGAGAACAAAGGCCTGTAAGTTACCCTCTTACCTCTATATCACATGCACACGCACTTACAGCATGTAAGGAAATAAATAGATGTGTTAATAAATATACACACGAGAACTAAATCAACAAGTATATTAATTAAAATTTTTAGCTATCATCTTAAATGTGTTAAACCATCTTTGTATATGTATTATAGACAGGGTTGTAGTGTTGCAATACATATCCTATCACTAAACTTTTTTTTTTTTTTTTTTTAAGTTTTTATTTTATGTGTATGGGTATTTTGCCTACTTGTCTCTGTACCACATTCATGCCTGGTTCTCCTAGTGGCCAGAAGAAGGTGTTGGATGCTCTGGATCTAAAGTTTAGAGGCAGTTTTGAGCTACCATATGGGTTCTGGAAACCAAACCTGGGTCTTATGGAAGAACAGCCATCTCTCCAGTCCTGTCTTGTTTCTCTCTTTTTCTTTTTCTTTTTCTTTTTTTTAATAAATAGTAATAATAATGCCATATTACCCTTTAGAAAAGTTAAGGCACCATGCTTTAACCAACACAGTATCCTCGAAACATAACGTAATGGGTCTTCTTAATTCTTTACAGAGATTGGAATATTTATTGCCACTTAAGTTAAACTTCTCTTTCTTGCAGAAGGAACCCCATACCTGGAATCTGAAATCAGCCTTTTCTCTAATAGAGACCCTGAATCTGAGTCCCCTAAAGAGCCAACTCATGTTTGCACCACACCAGCTTCAGCCTGTGCACGGACAGTATCCCAGTGTCAAGTTTCTGGGTCTTTCGAGAGTCCAGCTGCTGCTCATGCTGCCGAGGTAGAAACTGTGAGCAAGAAAAAGCCAGAATTGACATCTTCAAAAGGAAGAGCCAATACAGGAATATCCATGGTGGTGTCAGGCTTGACCCTCAAAGAAGTAGTGAGTGTATTCATAATTATCTCTATAGTGACTGGGACTTGACTGCTATAGATGTGCTAACAATGAATAACCTCTAAGAAGAAATCTGTCTGAGGAAATAAGTATTTAATACTAGGCACCTTGCTGGTTACGGTACTGTTTTTGGATTGTATTGCGGTTTTCTTTTTATCAAAAGAAAAAAAAAAGAGGGAAGGGGTAGGGAAGACATGGGAGGGAAGGAGAGGGGACAGGAACTGGGATCAATATGTAAAATAAGAAAAAATAATAAATGTATATATATTTTTAAAAAGGTAACTAGATAGAGCACCTCTCTCCAGAAGGTATCATTTCCCTCCTGGATTTACATCTAAGTAAACTTATCAACATCTGACTAAATGTAGGCTTGGTTCTGATGATACTGCCAGACGGTGGCATTTCTCCAGGGTCTGCTTGTCTTTGTCTTGGCTGTCAAGGCAGCTTGTTCAATATCCTGCTCTCTCCTCTCTGTCCTTGGCAGCCCTTGCTTATAAGGGTTTGGGCACCTCCTTGGTCCCTGGTGCCAGAAATGGGAATTGTTTCATACTCATTGAAACATAAAGCCCACTGAACTCGTTTCTTTTTAAGCTGTTTATAGATTTCAAGCATTCTGGGGAAATTATTTCTTGTATGATGTTATAGTAACAAAATAATTGTGTATTTCTTTAAAATGTAATATACCTATCAGTTGGATTCAATAGTAGATGCCATTTATTGCACACTGAGAGGCAACTAAGTCATTCTGAAGTGTCTTGCTTAATAGAGCCTTCATAGGCTAGGCACCATTCCCCATCCTGATGCCTCTACAGGTAGTGAGTGACCCTGCATAAATTCTCAGAGGCCCCTTGTGTCCCCTATTGAAAAGGCAAAGCAAGCTTTGTCTGCCCTGATAGATACAATGTATAAGTTCAGATTAATAACTGTTGACATTGTCTCCTCATAGCAGTTTGCTTTGAAAATTCTCACCAGTATTTGTTGAAATAGCTCTTGATGGTCTTGCCTACACATCTAGAATTCCCATTTATTCACCGAAAATTTGCATTCATTGTTCCTTTGTTTTGTGAGTTCAGCTTTTTAGAGATAGCTGTAGTGGTCTAATCGTTTTTGCCTTGGGCAATTCTGAGGTGCAGATTAAACTACAAGTGGCTTGGGTACATGTTTTCTTTAAACAAGCAAAGAGGAGAACTTTGAGCTCTATTCAGATTTGCTGAAGTGTGTTAAATTTATGATGAAAGCCACTGACTGTATTACACATGATTAATTCTGAAGCCCGTATTAAGATGATCTTTTCAGCAGTTGCTCTTCTAACTGAACACTGTGTTAAGGCTGGGACTTCAGCAATTAACCAGTTCAGAATTGCTAATGACACTGGCAGAGGGCAGCAGGAAAAAGTGGGAGGTTGGCATTAGCTTCTCCAGCCTGCTGCTTGCCAGTGCTCAGTAGCAGGATGTAGTGAGGCAGGATGAAAGGTGGCTGGCTTCCATTGCAGGGCTCAGGGGCACATAAATATTGGCATGGGCGCCGAGGGCTAGAAAATGATGCTCCCCAGTAAACAAGCTTATTACCAGTTATGTCAACTGGGCCCATAATGGATCTGGTTAATTTCGTTTACTGCCTATTGATTTTTATTTGCTTGATAGATAATAGCTAAGGGACTCTAGATTTCTTTTGGGAGAATGAGTCTCTTCCAATATTTTTCCTTAAGAGAGAATTGATATTTTGTACTGACTACAAATTATCTTCACATGAGTGCTTTGTAACTATCAGACTTGAGTCTTGGTGTTACAGTGTATATATAATATATATATAATATATATAATATATATTATATATATATGGCTAGTTACCACTCAGTTTATGAGATGTAGGGTGATAAATCTCGGTTATAGGATGGTGGTCTGTCATTCTACAAAGAAACTCAGAGAATCAAGTTATATGATCTTTGGTTGTAATCCCCTAACTTCTGCTACTACATTAGACTGCATTAGAATGTCTTTCTCTAGCGTATACATGGTTTTGAGTTTTTTGTTTCTTTGCTTGGTGGGGATAATGCTTACTTGTTCCAGTGTAGCCCTGGTTCAACTAAAACTCGGTTTTTAGATCATGTTGGCCTTGAACTAATAAAGATCTACCTTCTTCTGCCTCCCAAGTGCTGGGATTAAAGACGTGTGCCACCTGCCTGGCTGATTTATATGTATTTTTTATTAAGTTGTCAGTTTTGAGACTTCAGCCATGTTATATTTTCAAAAGTCACAGCAGGATGGTCAAGGTGACTCAAGTAAAGGTGTTTGCATATAAGCCTGACAACCTGAGTTCAGTCCCCAAAACATACAAGAAAGGGGAGGGAGAGAATAAAGAGTTGTCCTCTGACCACACATACACACTACAGTAATACACAAACACACATCAGTATTATAAAAATTTTAAGATGTGCCTTTTCTTAGTTAAAATAATATTCTAAGCTGTGTGCCAGATATAATTTAGCATAACTTTTTAAAGACTTTATTTATTGTATGTGCTTTGGTATTATTGTCTACATGTATGTCAGTGTGAGAGTCCCAGGTCCCCTGGAACTGAAGTTCCAGTTGTGAGCTGCCATGTGAATGCTAGAAATTGAGCCTGGGTCCTATGAAAGAGCAGCCAGTGCTCTTAACCATTGAGCTCTCTCCAGCCCCTAACTTAGCATAACTCAGTGTTTGATTTTTGTTTCAGATGATTGTGCAGAAGTTTGCTGAAAAATACCACCTCACTTTGACTGATGTAATTACTGAGGAGACTACACATGTCATTATAAAAACAGGTATGCTACAAACTTTTACAGACTGTATTGCATTTATATCAAACCACATCAAGAGCCATATAAATCAAGTTGAGCATCCCTAATCCCAAAATTCAAAGTCTACAACTATTTGAATATGGACATAATGTTGCAACTAGAAAATTCTGCTTTTTACCTGACAGTTCATAGTCGGGTGTAGGATATGAAGCCTGCTGTATAAAGTTGCCTATGGGGTTTGTAGATGGAGCTTGGTGGCAGAGTACCACCAAGCGGACATGCATGGGGCTCTAGGTGAGTGCTTCTTACCTTCTGCATACCCCTTTGGGGTTGAAAGACCTTTTCACAGAGGTCACCTAAAACCATCAGAAAACATTATATTATGACTCATAACAGTAGCCAAATTACAGTTATGAAGTAGCAATGAAAATAACTTAATGCTTAGGGATTGCCACATGAAGAATTGTATTAAAGGGTCACAGCATTAGGACTGTTGAGAACCACTGCCCGGGGTAGTCTCTCTAGCACCATAAGTAAAAAATTACCCTCAGGTTATGTACATAAAACATAAACAGGCTAGGTGAGGGTGGCACACGCCTTTAATCTCAACACAGTCTCTGAGTTTGAGGCCATCCTGGTCTACAGAGCTAGTTCCAGGACAGGCTCCAAAGCAATACAGAGAAATCCTGTCTCAAAACAAACGGACACACAAACAAACAAAAAACATAAGCAAGTTGGCTTATGTTTGATCGTAGCATTCAGAAGATAGAGGCAGGAAGATCAGAAGTTCAAGGCCAGCCTAGGCTATAAAGAAACATCTTGTCTCAAAGAACAAATGAAACAACAACAAAAAAATGGATTTTGTGCTATGTATAAAAAATGTCTCATATATATGCAAATTTTCCAAAAAGTACTTTTAGGCATTTCAGATCAGAATGTTGAGCCTGTCTTTTTTTTTTTTTTTTTTTTTTTTTAGTGTGCCATGGATGTGGTCTCCTAATAGTCTGAGTCAGTTATTGCTTCATAAAGACGGTAGTAATCTTATATGACCTTAGGTTGGGTTAAAATTTGAGGAGTGACAAAATGAACTGTTGAACCACTTCCTGTGTACTTGCTTGGAGTTCAGTGGGTATAGAACCCAGTCCAGATCACAGAGGAGAAAGTAAGGCAAAGGAGAGAGCAGGGTGGACGTAAATCGCCACTTACTCAGTGGCTCCTGGCTTGAGTGTTACTGAGTATGTGCCCTATAACCTTAGTCTGGAAAGGACAAAAAGAGTGAAGCCACTCAGTTGTCCTTTGCTTCCTCCTTTTTCAGTCTTAATTGTGCCTGTGCCTGTAGAAGTTGCCTCTGGGAATGTTTAGTTGACTGTAAATCAGTGTGAACATTTCAGAGCATTAATACAAGCCTGATGTGTGAAGCAAGAGAAGTATGCAGCTAGCCTTTGATGAATCTTCTGCTGGAGTGACTGTCTAGGTGATCCTCTCTCTGCTAAACAGTTGTTCACTGTGGCAACTAATAAGCTTAGAGTGGCAGGGTTAATCCCAGTACTTGGGAGGTAGAGGCAGGCAGATCTCTGTGAGTTCAAGGACAGCCAGAATTTTACACAGAGAACCTCTGTCTCACCAAAACCAAAGGGGGAGGAAAAAGAAGATGGGGGAAAAGAAACTAAATTAATGTTTGAAGGCTGGAACAATGGCGCAGTGGTGAGGAGCACTTGATCTTACAGAGGACCTGGGTTTGTGGGTTTGAGCCCCTAACGCTCACAACCACCTATAACTCTAGTGCTAGAGAATCCAATACCCTGTGACCTCAGGCACTAGACATGCATGTAAGCAAAACAGTCATACAAACTAAATCTAAAAACAAATTTTGTAATAAAAGTGATGTCTGGCAGAGGACAAAGGGGCTGCGATACCCATCTTTAAGCATCTGAAGCATTATCATAAGGCTCAGGGATTCAGAAAACTGAATGGGGATGAGGGTGGCACAAATTATGGCTACACTCTAACACCTTGCTAATATCCCACTCTGGGATATTTTTATCATTAAAACTGGTCTTACGGCCTGAAGAGCACTGGCTGCTCTTCCAGAGGTCCTGAGTTCAATTCCCAGCCACCACATGGTGCCTCACAAATATCTGGTGCCCTCTTCTGTTGTGCAGGCAGAACACTGTGTATAATGAATGAATCTTCAAAACAAAACAAAAAAACTTAGTGTTTCTATTGCTGTAAAGAGACACCATGACTATAGCAACTCTTTTTTTGAGAGAGGGTTTCTCTGTAATAGCCCTAGCTGTCTTGAAACTAGCATTGTAGACTAGGCTGGCCTCGAACTCATAGAGATCTGCCTGTCTCTGTCTCCTGAGCATGTGCCACTACTGCCCAGCTCCCAGCAACTTTTTTTTTTCTATCATTGCAGAGTTTTGTTTTTTTTTTTTTTTCTTAAAAAAATTTTTTTATTAAGTTTGAAATAAGCTTGTTTTACATGTCAATCCCAGTTCCCAAACCCTCCCTGTCCTCCACCCCACCAACACCCATCACAACTCTTATAAAGGAAATATGTGATTGGGGTGGCTCACACAAACAGTTCAGAGGTTTAATCCATTATCATAATGGTGGGGAGCATGTCCACATACAGGCAAACAGTGCTGGCAAGGTAGCTGAGATTTCTACATCTTACAGGCAACAGGAAATGGTTTGGGACACACTGGGAGGACATCCTAAGCATAGGAAAACTCAAAAGCTCACCCTCACAGTGACACATTTCCTCCGACGAGACCACACCTCGTAATAGTCCAACTCCCATTGGGATTATGGGGGCCAGTTACATTCAGACTGCCACAGAGCTCTGGGCCTCACCACAGGGTCCATAGAGCTTTGACTCTGCCTTAAGATTAAGACTGCTAAAACTAGGTCTCTCATACATGGAAATTGTACCAGAGGGCAGTGCTCATTGGAATCAGGTGCCAAAACCGGATATGGCAAGCTAAGTTCTATTTGAGAGAGGAATGTCATTAAATTTTAATATAGTTTAAGAAATAGGTTTGAATCACAGGTGATAAAGGGTGAAAGAAAGCTTTAAAATACAAATTAAATCTAAAGTAGCTCTTTAAAGTCAAAGGCAATACAGCATTTGTTGCTTGTGAACTAAAATCAGCTTTCTAGCGTTTAAACAAGCTTCAGAAATTATGAGGGATTCTGTGAGGCGGAGTGGTCACTTCCACCACGTGCAGGTGGCCTGCTGTGTTTGGGATTTAGTTGAATACATTTCTCCTGTTGAAATGGGTTTTTCTCAGTTTGCTTAGTTCTTCAAAGGGGCCTTTGAAACACTAGGCAATAAACAGATTCTTCAGCCGCTGCTGATTGAAATCCCTACATAGGAAAGAGAATGAGTGTGACGAGACTATTTTCCTGTCCCTCTCAGGAATATAGGATCCCCAGGGAGGAACTGCGGGGGTGAACTTGTCACATTGGCATTTCTGATTTAGGGTCTTTTTTCTCTTTTTCAAATTGAGGACTTCAACGCTGTATTCTCTCTTACATATTGGGGTTTGGTGAGGTAGATTGCTCACATTCATCACTAGTACTAATTAACATAGGATAGAACTCTAGCAAGCCTTGTCATCTCAAAGCTGAGACTGACAATTCCTCTGGTCTTAACCTGGCATCTCCCTCTTCCAGGCTTCCAAAACCCATCCTTGCTGGTTAGCATTAGTGGTGCTTCTGGCTTCTGGCTTCTGATTTTATCTCCAGGGGTACTGGAGTCTCCACTCCTGGTTGATCTTCAAGCTGAGCTTCAGCTTCTTAGGCAGCACCACTTACCTCTGTCTTTCTAACCCTTTGGCTGTTTGTCATTCTGCAGATGCTGAACTTGTGTGTGAACGGACACTGAAATATTTTCTGGGAATTGCAGGAGGAAAATGGATAGTTAGCTATGCATGTAAGTACAGTGCAATGTGTCTGCTCCTCCTTTTAACAACTTAGAATTGCATTCTAACACCTGAGGTTTCTGCTGAGTTACAGAAAGGTCTTCAACACAAAACTAGCTTTGTCTTTAAATTCATATAGCTCTGTTCAGATAGAAAATGGGTTTCTAACTAATAGGACCTGATCTTCTCTCAGGAGTGTTAGCATATGAACAGCGATTCATTTTATAGTAGACAGGAATCCGTGTACAGCAGCACTTTTGTAATGTTTAAATTAAACATAGGTTGTTTCCAGAAGGAGAGCTGCCACAGGCCTTATTAAAGAGTCCCCTCTCTCGTGAACCACTGAACTTCCCATCTCCACAAAGGGACAAACCGTTCTGCTCTACATAGCTCACCTTTTCTCTGTTCTCTCCAGGGGTGATCCGGTCTATTCAAGAAAGAAAACTTCTGAGTGTGGTAGGTAGTAGGTAGTTTATACAGACTAATCAGAGACCCTTGGCATTGGTGTTGCTTTCTCCCTTTTTAGACACCTTTTCCTCAGTGTGGGTACCATTGATGCTGATCTATCTGTTTAGAAACTGGTCTCCTTCCAAGAAATGCTGCTTTCTTTTATGACACTAAGAACAATGAGAAGTAAATAGGGCAAGTCTGTATGAGGAAGAATAATTTTAGAACAGCCAAGAACTGGTGATGTTGGATCACATAAAACAAAATCATTGAAATCTCTTTAAAACTATTATGTACTACTCAATATATTTGTAATTAACTAAATGAAACTTTTGATTTTAATTTCATTTGATGACCATTTTTTGGGAGCCTACCATATACTGGGAATACCACAGTAAACAAGAATGACCAAGTCCCTATTCTGAAATGATGTATTCCCTAGTAAGGGGAGATATACAATAAATAGATAAATTTCATATGCCAATAAATGCTTTGAACAACAGACCAGCAATTGTCTGGAGTCTAGGGTTACCTACCTCAGTTACAGAGACCAAGCAAAGTCTTTGTGAAAGGACTGAACTGACACTTAAATTACAAGAAAGAACTGTCTTTAAAAAAATGTAGACAATAACTTTTATAGGTAGGAACAAGATGTGTAAAGATCTGATCTATCTAGGCATGGTAGTGTACCTTAAATCCCAGCATTCCAGAGGCAGAGGCCAGCCCTCTCTACAGAGCTCCCACCAGCTCGCAAATAACCACACAGAGACTTAATATTAAGTATAAATGTTTGGCCAACAGCTTAGGTTTGTTACTAACTAGCTCTTACAACTTAAACTAACCCAGGCTGGCCTCAAATTTACAGAGATCTGCCTGCCTCTGCCTCCTGAGTGTATGCACCTCCACCACCTGGTGTAAGTTTGGTTTATTAAAGAAAAATAGACCATTGTAATTGAAGATAGGGAATTGGTGAATTTTGTTTAAGGAGCACAGATTAGATGAGAAATGAGAAGTCAGAGACAAGGACTAGATTTGGTAAGATTTTGTGTTAAGCCACGGTATTAATTTGAATTTTATTTTTAGGATAATTGGAAGCATGGAGATGATTTCTATTTTGGGGTTTGCTTGACTTATTTATTGTGGGAGAAGGTGTGTGCCTTGGCACATGTGTCAAGGTTGGAGGACAACTTGTAGGTATCAGAAGTTAGCTCCCTCCTATCCTGTGAAGTCTGGGGAACAAACTCAGGTTGTCAAGTTTGGCAGCAAGAGCCTTGCCCACATCTCTCTAGCCCCTTGCCTGGGTTCTTGATATTCCCACAATGCTTAGCACGTCTTCCTTATCATCTGAGCTTCACTCACAATGTCGTCTAAGCATTCTTCCCCAAAATTCCAAACTCCCTGGCCTATTATCCTTTCTCTTCTTATCAAAATAATTAACTATGAAAAACATAGGAGTTTCTTTAGAATGTAAAATATGTGTTTTATCTTTTAAACTGTGTGTGTGTGATGTGTGTGGAAGTCAGGATAACTTCATGGCATCTCCTACCTTTATATGGGTTCTGGGTTTAGGACTCAGGTTGTCAGACTTCATGGCAGGCACCTTTCTTTACCTGCTGAGCCATCTCACTGGCCTCGTTTATTATTTTGACTTCATTAACTGTAAATTTCTCCACAGAACTCTGAAAGCCCTGATGTCTTTAGCTGACAATATACAGTTGATTTAAGTGACCAAGAATCCTCCAGTTATCCTTACAACAGCACAGTGCTAGTGGTTTAATCTAAATGCTAAGTGAATGTTTCGAGAAGAGAAAGATGTGAGAGATTAAAATACCTTGAAAAAAATAAAATCAAGTCCCATGAGATGAAAGCTGATTGGTAATTTCAACAAAGATTTGCTTTGGGGCTGTCGAGAGATGGCTTAGGTGAAGGCACTAGCTGCCAAGCTTTATAACCCAAATGCAAACCTCAGGACACACAGAGTAGATAGAACCAACCTCAGCAAGTTGTCCTTTAATGCCTACATATATGCCACTCACTAACTAAATAACTAAATGAAAAGCTTGCTCTGATTGATTGATTTTTAGCAGCTGAGACCCTAGTCATCACGTCTAGCCCACAGAATACAATTATCTCCTTATTTTTTATTAAAACTTGTGATTCTGAGTACCTAAAGTACTCCAATGAGTGCGGCTTCTCCTCCTCTGGTCACGCCGGTGTGTTGTGTGTTTGGGGCTTTTGTTTTCTTAGAGTTTGGTTTTGGTTTTAGTTTTTTTAATGATTCATTTCTATTTTACATGCACTTTGTTGTTGTTTGGTTTGGTTTTTTTTTGGTTTTTTGGTTTTTTTTTTTTTTTTTTTTTTTTTTTTTTTTTTTTGTCTGCGTGTATACTGTGTAAAGATATCAGAACCTCTGGAACTGGAGTCACAGTTATGAGCTGCCATTGTGGGTGCTGGGATTGAACCTGGATCCTCTGGAACAGCAGTCCTTCCAAAGAACCAGGGTTTTTTGTGTTTTGTTTGTTTTTTGATGGTTTGTTTGGTTGATTGGTTTTTGGTTTTTGGTTTTTGGAGACAGGGTTTCTCTGTATTGCTTTGGAGCCTGACCTGGAACTAGTAGCTCTGTAGACCAGGCTGGACTATGAACTCACAGAGATCCGCCTGCCTCTGCCTCTCTGTGATGTATAGCCCTGGTTATCCTGGAACTCACTCTGTTGACAAGGCTGGAGATCTTTCCGCCTCCACCTCTGAAGTGCTGGTATTAAAGGCATGCACCACCACTGCATCTAGGATCCAGGATTTTAATCCAGCAGCCTCATGGATTATCACATCTCAAGTTCCAGGGGATCTGATCTCTTTGGGAACAGGCATTTCATATGATATACATACATACATGACAAAAGACTCATACACATAAAATAAAAAATAAGAATGACTTTTTAAAAAAATAATTTTCTAAGACAGGGACTCACCTGGGTATGGTGGCATAGGTCTCTAATTCCAGCTCTTTGGAGGAGGCAGAGTCAAGCAATTCAAGGCCAGCCTAGTCTACAAATTGAGCTCTAGGCTAGCCAGGCTACACTGCTAAAAAATGTTTAATAAAAGTAAAGACAAGATTTCATAATAATATAGTCCTCCTGCCTGGCCTGGTATGTGGTACTCTGCTACATGGCCCAATTTTTCAGTGTGTGTGTGTGTGTGTGTGTGTACATATATTCATGAGTACAGTGCCTGTGGAAGCCTGTGTCAGATCCCCTTGGAACTGGATTACAGGTCATTGTGAGCAGCCAGACATGGGAAGTAGGAACCAAACTCTGGTCCTCTGCAAGATTAGTATACACTCTTAACAGCTGGGTCATCTGTCCGCCCCACTTATAAAGTTTTGTGTTTGGTTTCAGCATGAATTTGAAGTCAGAGGAGATGTTGTGACTGGAAGAAACCACCAAGGTCCAAAGCGATCCAGAGAATCCCAAGAGAAGGTAAAGCCCCTCTCACATGTAACAGAAACCCCAGCCTAGGGCCTGCAGCCAGCTGCTACGGTGAGGTTGGTCTGTACCTGGTAAGGCACATTGCATGCTTGCGCTGTTCACTGACTGTGTGGTAGAGACCACAGGGAATCCTTTTGTCCCATAAGGAAGAGAACAAAGCTTAGGATGGCAGGTATAATTTGGGCTCCAGGCTGTGGTTTAGATCCCAGCTGGTAGTGATAGAAGTTAGATTTCAAAGATGTAAATCTAGGGTGGTGGTGGCAACCGGGGTTAATTCCAGCACTAGGGAGGCAGAGGCAGGTGGATCTCTGTGAGTTCCAGGACATCCAGGGCCGCACAAACCCTGTCTGTAAACACACACACACACACACACACACACACACTTCAAAGATTTGAATTAAACATTTTTGCTCTTCTTGCTTCACCGTGGACTTTCTCTGAGCAGGGTTGTGGTACGACCTGTGGACACAGTAAGTGCTTCATAATCAACAATCTACATCACTGTGATGTGTGTACTATTATTACTTATATTTTACATCTGAGAAAATTGAGGTTCAAAGAGGTTAGGTTCCCCGGGGTCACTTAGATAGTGAGTGATGGGAGACGTTGACCCAGGCACTTGAGCTTCAGCTCTACTTTCTCAAGTTAGAGATGGCTTCACAGGAGAAAAGCACATTACCCCAACAACTTTGCAGGGGAGAGCAGGATGCGGTGACTTTCTCCAGCATGTCGTAGCAGATGGTGCAGCCAGGACTGCATCCTGCTGCAGGAAGGCATCTTCGAAAGATTCCACACCTGCCTGGCAGGCCTGAGCCAACTGCTCTCCCAGGGTACTGGACAAGTGCTTGTGTTCCCAGGCTGCTTCTCTTCCCTTTCAAGTGGGCACCAGCAGGTGTTTCAGAACACTCCCATGCCGAGAACCTTCTGTTCCTCCACAGAAACTTGAGAGACCAGTTAGGGTGGTTTTCCTAAGGAAAACTGCTTAGAATGGCATCACAAACCAAGCCTGGAGTTCTGAACCCCTGGGATCAGCCCATCCACTCTCTGAGCCTATCAATTGACTGCTGCAGATGCCAAGAAAAGCTGCTCACCCCCCTTCTACCTCTCCCTTTTCCCCGAGGATCTCCATGAGCCAGCCGTCTGTTCTGGCCCAGCTGGGTCTGTGCAGAATTGGCACTGGGTCCCTCCTTCCTCAAAGGTCCTGGGGTCAGTGCCAGTGCCACAGGATTCCTCCTACGTCCAGGGTGGCAGTGATGGAAACTGCTTGGGCAAAGTAATGACATTGAGAAGACAATAAAGTGTCACTGCAGTGTTTGTAGAGGTGAAGCTTTAGATTCCTTATCTCATAACTAGACATTCTCATCGGGGTCAACCTGGATATGGAAATTCCTAACGTTTTATATTTCTCAGGGCAGCATTTGGCTCCAACCGGCTGCCTGGAGGGAACTTTTAGCATTTATGAGCATCTAGGTCCTGTCAACACATTGGGGACCCTTCTATTACAGATAGGGAGAGCAGCAGAGGTGGGAAGTACCATTTCCAACAATAACTGATTTGGCTACTGCCCTCTTTCTCTACCTGTCATGTGGGGTGAAGCCATTTCCAGTGGAACCATCTGTGGGTTTTAGCCCCTTGATTTTTTTTTTTTTTTTTTTTTTTTTTTTTTTCATCTCAGCCAACCTAGTCAGTTTTCTGTCGTAAATAGGAAGATGATCAAAAGAATGAGTTACTCAAATGATGTATGAAAATATTTCCATCCATGCTTTGACAAGTAGCATTCCTTTATAATCCCAACACTCAAAACTAAGGGATAGGAGATTGTGAATTTGAGGCCTAGACTAGAGTTGAGATCCTGTATCAAAACAGAAAAATATTAATAGTTAACTTGAAACCCTTTCTCAGAATTCATGCCAGTATACACATGAGAATTTGTACTTTCTAACACAGTTGTTACTAGACACACAGGGCTGCTCCAAGCTTGATTAAAAATGAAGCCAACAAGTGGTGGCTTATGCCTTTAATCCCAGCACTCGGGAGGCAGAGGCAGGTGGAGTTTGAGGCCAGCCTGGTCTACAGAGCTAGTTCCAGGACAGGCTCCAAAGCAATACAGAGAAACACTGTCTCAAAAAAGATAGAGAGACAGTTGAGAAGTTCAGTCTTTTCAACCACACTAGCCACATTTCAAGTGCCTCGCTACTTTATGAGACCAGGTACAGGACATTTCCAGTATCACAGAAGCTTCTGTGTGCAGCACTGATGAGCACAGTAATTACATTTTTCCCTTAGGATATGTTTATATGTATTTTTGTGTCATTAGAAAACCGTGTTCTGGTCAGCTGGGTGAAAGGTTAGCACCAAATGATAAAATGCCCAGGTCGATTGAGGATGCAGTGGCTGATGTCATGGCAGTGTGAAGGGACAAGGGGACACTTGACCAGGAGAGAAAAGGAGTGTGGGCACTGAAGATAAACTAAGATAGACAGCTCTACTTGCTGGGGCATGGTTAGTCCTGGTGAACTCAGGGCAAACATCAAACATCATCCAGTAGCTTTGAATTTCTTGCCATTAAATGTAAAGAAGGACCAGTGAGTTGTTCGTGTGTGGCTTGTTTTCTCATCTCTGACAAAAAGTAAAATCACTTTTGCCAGAGTCACCAAAGCATGAGCCTGGACCTGATTGGTGACAAGATAGAGCCTTTGTATTTTTAAGAGTGACTCTAAAATGTAGATCAGTTTTATACACAATTCAGTAAAATCCGAAATCAGTTCAGATTGTTGAATTGATTGTCTCTGGGAAGGAACACAGAAATTGTCGAGTGGTAAAGAAAATTCTTCCATTTTAGAGGGTCTCTGTTTCTTATAAAACTACGCTCTGGGTAAGGTGGTGCATTCCTGTTATCCCAGCATTTGAGGGGTGGAAGCAAGAGGAGCAGGATTCAAAGCCAACCTACATCACAAGTTAGAGGCTACCTGGCCTATGTAGGATCCTGTCTCATGGAAAGGGGAGAGGGTCTGGAGGGGCAGCTTAGGGGTTAGTGCTTGCTACTCATTCAGAAGACCTGCCTTTGAGTCCCAGCACCACGTTGCGCAACTCGCAGCTACCAGTGACCCCAGCTCTGATATGCTCTTCTGGCCTCCGTGGGCCTCTGTTTACATGTGACATATGCCCTTTTCACACACTCTCTTCTCTTTGCAGCTCTTCAAAGGCCTCAAAATCTGTTGTTGTGAGCCCTTCACCAACATGCCCAAAGGTAAGAGCCTGGGAGCTGTGCAGTTGCAGAACCAGCCTTTCTTATGTTACAGGGTTAGCCTATGTGGAGGTTTCTGAGATTGGCCAAATGTTCTAGAGATATTTTGTTACTCCACTATTGGTGTTTAATAAGGATCAGGAGACACAAACAGGCCGAATAGATGTTTATTCAGGGAGAAATAACTTACAACAGAGACAGATGAACACCAGCAGGTTCCTGGTCCCAAGGATGCCTCTGGATGCTCTTCTGTCCTGGTGCTGCAAGCAAGAGAGCTCCTGGGGCACCGTCCTCAGACCTGTCCCCACCCCCAATGGACGTGGCCAGTGTCACAGGTGCAGACAAAGTGAATATCTCACTACAACCGTGGTCATTTTACATCCTTCCTCTGCAGGTGAGCTGGAGAAGATGCTGGAGCTGTGTGGGGCTTCCGTGGTGAAGGAGCTTTCGTCGCTCACCCCTGACACAGTGAGTACTTGGTGCCTTCCTAAAGGGATGAATATACTCTCCTTCCACAAACCAAGTCCTATAAAGTAGCCCAGGGGCTTTCTCCACCCCACAGCTTGTATCAGACCACTCATCTGTGAGGTATGAGTAAGGACTTGGGAGCTATAAGCAATTAACATGTTGAAGGAAGCCTTTTCTTTCTAGCCCCTTCACTGTGTGAAAGCCCTGCTTTGACACGATTCTGTTTTTCTTCTTGGGGATGCAGGGTGCTCATCCAATTGTGATCGTACAGCCAAGTGCCTGGACAGAAGAGAATGGCTGCCCTGGTAAGGTGTCTCCCTGTACCATGCATTGTTGTCTTATGGGGCCCTGCCGGATGGATGCCCTTGGTCCCTAGTTACCTGCTGCATGCTTGACTTTGTGTGTGTGTGAGAGACAGAGTCTCTCTGTGTAACAACCCTGACTATGCTGGAACTCAACTCTGTAGACCAGGCTGGTCTTGAACTCAGAGATCATCTTGCCTCTGCCTTCCAAGTACTGGGATTAAAGGTATTGCCAGGCTTCCGTGGCCTGTGTTTTTGTTTATTTGGTTGGTCTACTGTGTAATGCATCCTGGTCTTGAACAGTTGGCAGTCTTTCTGCCTTGGCCTCCTAAGTGCATAGGCATGCCCCAACTGCACTCAATGTTTTTGTAGATTTTCTTTGTTGTTGTTGTTTACTTTTTTTTTTACAGGCTATTTATAAGGTTTACATGAATGAACTAAAATGTCTATTAGAAAGAAAGTCTTTATTATTGATGGGCAGTGGTGGCACACGCTTTTAATTCCAACACTTGGGAGGTAGAGGCAGTTTGATTTCTGTGAGTAAAGGTATAGTCTGGTCTGCAGGTCAAGTTCAAGGCCAGCCACAGCTGTACAGTGATACCCTGTCTTCAAAAGAATGTGTGTGTACATGTACTTTTACACATGCGTGATCGTGCTTAATGGTGTTTTGTTTCCTCACTGAATATATTTCTCCACACCATTATCAGGTTGAAGCTCATATTATTTCAGTTTCCAGAGGCTGGCTTTTACCAGCAATCACCCCTCTGGCTTTTCAGTAAGGATTTATGTCCTGAAATGTTACTTCCGGGCACCAGTTTGGCAACCACCTGACTAACCCAGGGACTCATGTAATCAGATCTTGGAGTGGATTGATTGGAGGCTAGAAGAATAACTTGACACCTGTCTCTGCTTGTGTTCTATCTGCAGAGATTGGGCAGCTGTGTGAAGCACATCTAGTGATGTGGGACTGGGTGTTGGACAGTATCTCCATCTACCGATGTCGGGATTTGAACGCCTACCTGGTACAGAATATCACCCATGGCCATAACAGTAGCGAGCCACAAGACCCCAATTAGTTTAAGAAGTGATCCACATCCTACTTACTATTTCATAGGCATCAGACTAAAGGGTATGCGGGGGATTCTATCTATGTGAGTGTCCCTTAAAGGGTTTCTGATCTAAGTCTCCCTTTGAAATCTGTCTTGAGCATAAAAGGTGTTTCACCTGAGAAGAATTTAAGTCTATTTAAACCCCACCAATTGAATAAGATGCTAATTCGTTATATATTGTTCTTGGAGAGACAGAGTAGAATGCTTGGCTGGTCTGTGCTGAACATAATCACAGCACTTGTCGGGAAGGGCCAGGGTTATACATGAGCCTGGGCTACTGTATAAGACCCTGACTTGAGTGAATGGCTAGTGGTCCTAATTTGTTTCTTATAAAATCTTGTGTTTAAGTCCTTCAAGGAGATTGCTTAAGACCTGTGATTTGACTTAAAATCAGCACTCAAGGCTCCAGGTTCCATACCCAGCACCAAACAATGCCCATAATTCCCCTCTACCGCCATCCCCCCCCACCCTCCCTGCCAAGAAAACCTGAAAGCCCTTGGGCAAGCCTTGGATATCAGTGGACACTGAGGAAGTTTAGAAGCAGATAATGTATTCAACATGAATATGAAGTTTTTCAAATACCAGTGTCCAGGAGAGCCTTTTAATCCCCCTTAACTGATGAACAAAGTGTCTGCTATAACTCTGCTAAGTAACCCATTCCTCTTAAAATACAAGATCTCTGATATGAATATTTCATGTCTGTAAATGATGGGTCCCACCAGGAAAGGAGCTGTTGCTTTCTTTGAAGTAATTTCTTCCCTTTTGCTCCCTATTGCTAAACCATACTGCTTCATAAATAATTTTGTTTGCTGAAGGAAAAGAACGTATTTTTCATAAACTCATTATCTTGGACTGTTTATAGCTGTTAGAGGGACTAGGTCTTCCCTGCCCCCTCCCCCAGTGTGCAAGGGCAGGGGAGACCTGATTGTACAAAGTGTATTTTATAAATGTTGTGCTGTTAATGCTGCAAATAAACTAAATAGCAAACATTTTCACTAAGAATGGCTGTTTGGGGGCCCTGGCTCAATGGGTACGGTGCCTGCTGCCCTGGGGCCCACATGAAGGAAAGAACTGACTCCTACAAGTTGTCCTTGGACTTCCACACATGCACAATTAAGGTGTGATGGGTGGAAAATGATGCATGCTGGTTACTCTAGTCTGTCTCGGTCTTCCTCGCAGCCTACGAAATGAAGTGGCTATTTCATCATTTTTTTTGAAAAGTGAAAACAGGGTTCTTATTTATAAGGTTTTGCACAGCTGTCAAATGACTGTGAGGAAACCTGGGCCTTCCTTCTGGCCCATCATGCGTCAGTCATGACCCCAGGAAAGAAGGCAGTTTAGATTTAAGATTTCCTTCACAGGCCATGGTGGGAGACAATAAAGGCAACCTGTCGGGCAGAGACTAAATGTTGGGTCGTGGCTCTCATTCCTCCTCCTTTCAGTCTCCCAGCTTCTGACTGTGTTTTCCATTGTCAGGAAATGCTGCTTCAGATGGGCTGGAGATACAGCTCAGTTGATAGACTACTTGCCTTGCATGGACTAAAATCTGGGTTCGATCCCCCAACCTCCTGATCCCCAGCACCACATAAAACCTGACAAGGCAGTTCATACCTGTATTTGGGTGGTGGAAGCCAGGTGATCAGTTCCTGGTCAGCCTGGCCTACATGAGAACCTGTCTCAAGAAAATAAGGGTCTGGAGAGGTAGCTCAGTGGTCAGGAGTGTTTGCTGCTCTTGTGTAGGCTCTGGTTCCCAGCACTCACACAGTAGCTCACAGTTCTAATGTCAGTTCCTGGAGACCCAAGTGGCCTCTGCAGTCACTGCACACGTGTACACGTGAACTCACAGGCATAGAAAGATAAAGAAGAAGAGCAAGACCTCGCAGATCTGCCACTTCCCTGAGCACTTCATCAGGGATTTAATGTGTCTCATCATTAGTGAAAGAAGAAGCAGAAATGTTAATGTCCTAAATGGTCATTTCCAGGGACCAGCCATGACTTGAGGGAGACCTCGTCCTGCTATCCCTTAACACTGATAATAGAAAGAACACCATCCAGAACACCCCTGCCTCTCATGGGATCCTGGTGAGAGCAGGTTTAACTGAAATACATTAAAGTCACATGATTGTCGCAGTGTCTGATCCATGTACATCCTGTCTGATTGGAGCTCTATATATGCTTGGCCTAGATTAAAAGTTAAGAGTTCTTTCCGACGATTGAGTAAATCTTGTTCCCTTGGCCTCTGATGCCTTCCCACCTTCCCACCCTGCAATCTGTAGCCCTCTCTGGGCATAGCAGCAGTTGGGAACCGGTTCCTATACTGACTGTTATCTCATTCTGCAAAAAAGCTGAAAGGGGAAAGGGATTATCAGGCGGGCATAGGGAGGGAGCCTAGAGGAGCACTCTGGCTGATTATCTCACTCCTTAAAAAAAAAAAAAAAAAAGTAACCAGAATGCACAAAAACAAGCAAGAGAAAAAGAATGTTGGATGGTTGCAGCGGAAGGAGCCCAGAGGCCTAGAATGTGTCCTGTGAAGGCTGCTAGGAGCAGATAAGGACAGCATAAGAAAGGGCAGAGTGAAGAGACTGCAGATGTGCCCAGGAAACTCCAACAAAAGACCTGCTGCCCCAAGAAAATGGGGTTGCTCACCAATGGCTTAAACTGTCTGAACTAGAGGCCCCTGCACCCAGCTTCAGAGAGGCCCACCGCCCTCAAACAACCTAAAAATCTGCTAAAACGAGGAACAGTAAAGAGATGCATCTGGCAGGCTAAAAATTAAAACTGGAAACAGCTGGTGTCTACCGAGAGCATGCATGGCTTGAGGAATCTGGCAAGGTGAGGCACACCTCTTCATTTGCACTTGGGCAACTGAGGCAAGAGGCTATACTTAGCTGGGCAGTGGTGCCACATACTTTTGCCTTTAACCCCAGCACTCTGGAGGGAGGCAGGCGGATCTCTGAGTTCAAGGCAGCCTGCTCTACAAAGTGAGTTCCAGGACTACAAATAGAGAAACTCTCCAAACCAAACAACAACAACAAAAAGGCTATGCTTAAACTGGGAGTTGTAGCTCACACCTGTAACTTGAGGGGCTGAGGCAGAAGGATCAGTATTCCAGACCAGTTGGAAGCTGAGCTGGTCAAATGAATGACCCAGCAGGTAAACACCGTAGCCTCCAAGCCCCATGACCTAATTTCAGTCCCCAGAACCCACATGGTGGAAGGCCAGCCCTGACTCAAACATGTGGTCTTCTGATTGCATGAACCCTGTGGCACACTTGTGTGCACATACACACACAAAACAAAATATGATAGAGATTGGAAAAACCCCAAGAAGCGGATCCTGGATGAAAACCTAAGCCACATAGTCCCTAGTGTGACCAAAGGATGCAAACTTTAATAGCAGCATGTGCTTTAGTAGTGTGGTTTCAAACCATACCCCTTAACGGAGGCTTTGGGGTGGGACAACAGCATGCAGATTTCCAGACCTGCCCTAGACCCACTGAACCAGCAACTGTGTGGGTGGGGCCTGGGGCCCACCCTGTGACCTGGGACTCTGCAACAGACTCAAGTCTAAAAACCATAAGCTAAAGGGAAAATAAGATCCTGTAAAATGAGGCAGGCGGTGGCACATAAATAATCCCAGCACTTGGAAGGCAGAGGCAGGCGGATCTCTGCGAGTTGGGAGTCCGGCCTAGTCTACAGAGCTAGTTCCAGGAGAAACCCTGTCTCAAAAAACAAAATAAAAACAAACAAATAAGCTCCTGTAAAGTGTTCACTGTCTCTCCTGTCTCCAAGAAAGGGAAATCTTTGGGCCTGTAAAGAATAAATAAGGTTGGTGGACTTGTAAATGGTTCTTATCTCCAAGGTTACATTGCAGCAGCTGGCTTCAGTTAACTCCACAATGGTCCTTTAAGAATAAACAAAGCCAAGGACAAAGATTATATTATATTAGCCACCTAGGAGCAAAAGGGCCAGACTAGTTTAAAAAAAAAAAAAACAACAAAACCACACAGCTAGAGGTTTAGAAGGTTTTATTAATATTTAAATTGCAGTGAAACCACAGCTGCAGCCTTTGACTCTGGCATAGAGATATGCAAATGTGGCTTTCAAAAGCAAGGCAATTTCACACAGCCCTCAAGGTAACAAGAACAAATACAACAAATGATTTTGTAATTTATCTCTATTGACTGATGGAGTGCAAGGCATGGACAGCCCTCAGAGTCAGCAACTTGCTCTCTAAGGGGAACAGCGAAAGCCTGCTTGGAGGGAGGGATGTGAGCAGCCCCATAGACTGGTGCCAGAAAAAGACCCAAGGAGAGCAGGAAGTTGCTGGGAGGAGATGACTGTATATAAATGGAGAGTTTCAGACACCCAGTCCTAGGTTCTGTGAACCATCTGCTCCTGCCAACTCATGGAAGCCACAGCAGTAATAATCATCAGTTACTACTGTTTGCCATACTCCTGCATGCTGTGCATTAGTCCCTACAGACAAATACAGAAAATGAAGTTTTGAGAGGTCAAGTGACTTACCATAGATCACATTTACAGAAAAAGGACAAAGCCCAGACTGAAAGGTGTGTCAGGCTAACCAGCCCATACTTTCCCAGTACATTTCTCTGGGGACCAGCAGTCAGTGAATAGTAATATTAAGAATTGAAGCCAGGTATAGTGGCGCATGCTTTTAATCTGAGCATTCAGGAGGCAGAGGCATGCAGACTCTGTGAGTTCGAGGCCATCCTGGCCTATAAAGTGACCTCCAGGACATACAGGGCTGTACACAAAGAAACCCTGTGTCCAAAAAAATAAATAGAATAGTGATTGAGGGGAGTCTGTGTCCCCAGTTCTTTAATGGCTTATGCATATGTGTTGAGTATGTGTCTGTGGTTATGAAAGAGGGTGACAGGTCCATTCTGGCCTTCAGGTTGCTTACTATTGAGTGGAGACAAATAGAGAAAAGTTCTAGTGCAGAGGTTCTTTGGCAATGACCAGGACTCAGAAGGATTTCTAGATGAGAACCTCACCGTGGGATTTAAGCACTGTTTGGCCAGGTGAAAAGAAACCCAGGAGTTTCTGAAAGGACCAGGAGAAACACATCAGATTCTGGAACTAGAGCCCAGAGCTCTTATGTGGACAGGTGATAGGAACGTCTTTGGCCATTTGCCAGTCTCCTGAGTTCTCACATCTTAAACCCAACCCTTTAATATGTCACCCAATGATCCCTTTTGGGTACTCTGGCTACCATGTGTAGGAACCCACAGATTTTTCCCAAGCTGTAATGAGGGCTGATCTGTCCTATCTGCAAGGCCTAGATCTTACTTAACCCCTGTCCTTCACAAAGCCTCTCCCTGATTTCCCAGACTAGAACCCCTCCCCCCACTTAGAATACCCATTTTGGAGCTGGAGAGATGACTCAGTGGTTAAGAGCACTGGCTGCTCTTCCAGAGGACCCAGGTTCAATTCCTATCACTCACCTGGCTGCTGTCAACTGTAAGTCCATTTCTAGGGGATCTCAGGGGATCTGATGTTCTCTTGTGACCTCTGTTGCACAGATGATGTATGTGCAAGCAAAACTCCCAGACACATAATTTTTTCTAAAGGAAGTTTCCAATACCCATTCTGCTTCACTTACATTTGATTTCACTTATATTTAGCCCTGGGTAACCTGGGAACTCACTATATAGACCAGGTTGACCAGATTGAATTCAGAGATCCACCTGCTTCTGCCTGAGCCTCCATACCCAGATGTTTTTGTTTGTTTAGTTGTTGTTGTAAGGGCAGGAACACTCTTTGCCACTGAGCCATCTCTCCAGCCCAGTTTGCTTTTTGTTTTGTTTTGGAACTCAGGCAGGTGTCGATCTGAGACCAAGGTCTCACTGAGACCAAGGATGACTTGACTTCTTGAGCCTCCTGCCTCTACCTCCCAAGTACCAGAGAGTGTGCACCGCCATAATGGAGAGTAACATCTTCAGTCGGCCACTTGTGTCTACTTCCTGTCTTCTCTGCCTGGAAGATGC